ATCCATGTCCGACGTCGACAATCTTAAAATACACGTCGCATAGTTTTATTCTTTTCTTTTGTCGATTCGGCGACGAGTCATCGTCGACAATCGCCGGGAATCGTTATCTTCTGAACATGTTGCAGCCGCCCTTGATACACCCTTGGATCAGAGAGGATCGAAATAACCCGCGTCGTAGACCCGAGTCCCCGCGCGCAACATTTTCGGGTCCGTCTTAATGGCTTCTCGAGGGCCTTTTTTTACCGAGTTTGGATGCGCGAAGGTGTAAATTGAGTTGGTGGCGGCGAGCAAGAATCCCGCCTCATTTCGGAGTATAAAAAAAAAGTTACTTTTGCCCAATTGTGTCGATAATAATCACGTTCGAATATATTTTTATCAAGCTATCACAGCACATGAAAAAAGGTAGCATAAATTATCGCATCTATTTGTAAACACAAGTGAGAGAAAAGTAGAATTGCTTTCTAAAGAAATGATGCAACATGTAATATGATCGACTTCTATTTTTATATGTAAACAATAAAATAAATCATTATTCATCTTTTAAAATAAAAGTTTATTTCCATCCGTGTGATAATCGCCCAAAATATATTATTCATAAATAATAATATATTTTGAGCGATTAAAATCGAAAACTTCAAACAAAATAATTTTATGAAAAAAAAGCAGAATATTTGCTAAAAAATAATATATAAATTTTATATAATTACCATTTATTATATATGCATAAATTTTTGAATATGAATCGTTCTATCTATGCCCATTTTCAAATATGAATCGTTCTATCGTGCCCATTTGAAATTTTTAAATTAATATCGATCGAAGAAATAAAAGAATAGAATATTGCTATCAATTTTATTTCTCCAATCGATATTAATTTAAAAAAAATATCTATACGTATTTAATAGATAACAATGATAATTCTTAAACATCTCTCTACCATTTTAAAAATTAACAAACACTCATGCTTAAAATGGTCTCAAACGAATAGCTGCTATTGAACATTGAACTGCAGTTCGTCGATGCTGATGAACGACTCAGGCGTAAATTTAGCACTATATGGCATGAGATCAGGCAGCTTGAATTAGAAAACATTGACCGCCAAAGAGTGCCGATAAAGACTTTACTGCGAATAAAATCACCTGAGAGTTCTGCGAAGACGAGCCTTAAGCATGACTAATCGAATAGAATTATTAATATTCGCACAAAGTTACACATTTTTGTAATATCCTAATACTTTCTCGATTTTTTGCAAGACACTATTATAACATTAATAAATATCTCAAGTAAATCCAATCATAAAAATCCAATCATAAAAACTTAAATATTATCAATTTCCAAAATTTATTATTTTCCATACATTTTTTCTGTATATTATTATCTGCAAATAACAATGAAAAAAGCATATGATAGCATGGTTGATGAAATATGTATAATGTTGTAGAAATCATTAATTAAAATTTACACATACACACCTTAAGAATGTTCATGTTTTTTATCATACATTTTTTTTCTAAAATATCGCTGACTTCCTTGGCTATTACAATCACAAAGGTAGTCAGAATCTTATATGAATCAAGATTATCTACAGTGTGAGAGAATGATTACCGCGATCATGACTCATTAATTTAATCCGAAGAAGAATTGACAAGACAGTGTTCTCACCGTAAATTGCATCCTAGAGTAGTTAATTCGTTAAATAATTCTAATTATTCCGAAAATAATACACAGATCTACAAAGTCGATGAAAAAAGCTAGATTTATGCGTCAACTTTTCTTTTTATTCAAAAGCGGACTATAGTTTTTTCCAGTATGATATTTTTAAAATTTTGTGTGTAATGCAATAATTAAATAGTAATATGAAAGAATATTTTGACATCTCCAAAAAAACGTGTATAATTCATTATTAAATATTATTAATATCTAAAGATTTTTAATATGCTTATTTTTTTAATTTGTCAAATACAATTAATCATAAAACATATAATATTTATATGATTGACCTAAAAATGCTACTGCATTATATGAATGAAACATTATTATTGTATTTTTATATTTTAAATTACACTTGACATTTTTAACGAAAAAATAATAATAATGGCATTGAAACGTATTGACAAAAGAGATCAGCTGTTCTTTCAGTTTTCCTTCATATCTTATATATCTTACCGGATTTTCTATATTTTATAGAGCGATTAAACGATTTTTTTACCTGAACTCTCAAAGGTGTAAAAGCGTGCGATATTTTTTTAAAGATCTAAACGTGTTGAAAAAGAAAGAGAAAAAAAGCCTACAAAGCTCGTTTTAAAGGTTCCTTTAAAATTGCAGATTTACATTGCAGGTTTGTTCGCTCAGAAAAATACCTCGTCGTTTTGTGAACCATTGTCATTTCCCAATGCCATAGTATATATAAATTCGCCCTTAAATCACTTTCTATGTAATCAGTAGGATTTTTTTCACATTTTTTCACAAATCCATCCGAAAAATGTGGCATGCAAATCTTTATGAGATTTAAGCCTCGAGATTTTCTACTATGAATCTATTTTTTAAGGGAGACAATGAAACCATTTCTTCTTCTAAGAGAGAAGATTTCGGATACATACAATATTATTTCTTCTGACATTATTTGTTCAAGATTATGAAATTCAAACTTTCAAATGGGCACGAAGAATTTTAAGTAATAAAACTATGCGACTACAAATGTCATGAAAATTTGTCTGTTTCATGCTTTATGTTTATAAAAATAGATTTATATATAAAAAATTAAGAATAAATCCATAGACTTAAATTTGCATAATAATTACCTGAACTCTTTAGAAAAGATCATAAACATTTTTAGAGTTACTCTAAAAAGTAAGTTATCAGACTCTAAAAAATTCTCAAATTATTATTAATAAGATTATATTGACTCTCAAATTCATTTACAAAAAGATTGTTCATTTATCTATATATTACATCAATATTACATATTGTTACAATATGAAATCTAATTGTAAAATAGATTATAATTGGAAAACTATGTGACAGAAAAAATAAAATATTTATAAATGAAGCAAAAAGTTTTCCAGGATCTATATATAATCATTTTTATCTTTAAATTACATAGATTTTTAAAATTCATTTATTACAAAATTATTCTGTATAAGAGTTAAATTTCGCTTTCTCGTTAGAAAAACTTTTCATTGTTTATACAAGTTTAAAGAATAATCTCGAAACGATTGGAATACGATAATGATCCAGCGGATTCTGGACTGGCGTGGCTCGATCGACTGCTGGTGTAACGTAAGGTGCAACCCACGTGCGCACCGTGACATTCCGATCGTGACTTGCAATCTGTATTCGTAACTTCGTTTCTACTCTGACCGATGTCCGCTCTTTTACGGCTAGTCTCGTTTTAACGACGCACGCGGGACGAATAAGAAGTCGCTAAGCAAAGTCGCTCGTTAAAAGTGCGATAATTACAGTACCGTTAGCTCATGTTTATATAATTACAGGCTTTACTTTAAAGCAAATATATTACTGCTGTATTATTCTGTGCATTATTCTCGCGTTACTGTTTGTTGACAAGAGAGAAGAAACGATCTTCTAATGTCATGGGTTAAGTATTGATTAAAAAAAAAAACGTAAATCGTATGTATGTATTATTTAAAAAAGCGTTAAATCATTAAATCTCTAAAAGTTTGTGATTTTCGAATAAAAAAAAATATATAAATTACATCATATATATGTGTTGATGGAATATATAGAGATTATATTTTATTTAATGCTTCTAGAGTGTGTAATTGAAAAAGAATTTATTCAATTATATCGCCCCCCCCCCTCTCCCGTCTCGCTCGAGTTTAAATTATTCGATTGATAAAATGCTGATATATCATCATGATTTTTGTTATAGGCAATTAAGTTGTCATGATATTCTTATACAGCCTATTAAATCGTGCTGATATTCGATTACACTGGTCGCAATGCGCATTTCATAATGACAAAATAAGAAGAGTCGACAGGAATGCGCCGATGGCGTCGTTCCTATGAATAAAATTTGTTTGGTCGATGAGGAAGAAGCGGGCAGATATATCTCGAAACCGAAAGGAACGAATCTACCCCGATGGGAGTGGCGCGCCGGTAAATGGAATAAATCGGGGGGGCCCCCCCTCGATGTTTCTCACAAAAGGTTCACTGAACCGCGACACGAGCGAAAATGTGTCATTACCACGCAAATTACGATGCTGGCGCTTCCGTACGCATCCTACATCCCTCGAGATAATTACCGTGAATTAGCATCGATCGATGGACAGCCCGCAGAAAATGTTGGCAATATATCGCGAACCGAATACTGATCTCATTTCGCTACACATTTTTCGGAACGTAAATTAGAGATTTTTGAAAGTTAAGGGAAATGAAGTCTTTTCGTCGAATGGCGCAATTATTATATCACAAAACTGAAAGTATATATATAATAAAGTAAAATACATACAACTAGCTTTCTCCTCTCATCGCGTAAATGAATGCAATTAATGCAATTAATTTCGATATTGCTATAAATTTTATATAATAATGTCTATTTGTACAATTGTCAATGCAAATTTATTATATTGAAAAAATGAGATAGAGACGAAAAAGATAGGCGTAAATATTTAAAAAAAACTAAATTTTTTTCCTTGACAAAATATTAAAAAAGATTAAAAATAAAACACACCCTACAATGTCTTTTAAATATTTTAACCTACAAATTTCATATTTTAATTCAAATCGTTCATACTTTAATAGTTTTATTTCAACAAATCGCTCATTTAATTTTTCGTTTAATTTTAAATTAATGCTTAGTTTATGTCATTAATCGAGGATGACTCGAGCTTTAAGCATTGATCGCCCCCGATTCGTCGTAATGCCAGCTTACACGTGAATTACAGAATGAAACGATCTAGTCCTGCAGTAATATTCGGAGGCACGTGACATCCGATTTACAAGCGATTTGTATATACATGAAAATTGAAAAAAGTACTCACTTTGACAGTTGGCGGCACTCAGAAGAATAATCAGCAGCAGGATCCTCGTCGGCCCCATTTTCCTCGGAAGTGTTTTCGCAGCTGTCATAGCACACTTAACTCACACTGTCTCAGTTCCAAACACTACACAACGAGTCAAAAGGACGAATATAATCACGAGATATCGCGTAGAACTCGCGCGAAAATTTCGAAAGGAAGCTTCAGTCTACGAGCTTACGAGCGTCCCGTTTCCTGCTCTCCTTTTTCCTCAATCTTCGCAAGGTGAAACGGAGCGTGCCGGCACTTTCCACGCTAATTTCACCGTGCATAAGCGTGCAGGGTACCGTTCCGACGAGCGTCACGCCGGTTTCCCTCGATAACGGAACGACGATTGTCGGTCCGAATTGTCTCCTTGACAGTGACTCGTTCTCTTTTTTTTTATCGATAGATCGTGCGAGAAAAAAAAGACCGTCTATTGGCTTATAAAAAATGACCTCTCTCGCGAGGGAGGATGATAGCATCCGTCAGAAAGCCGGCTGGTTGGCTGATTGCACGCTGTCAGTTTACCATAGGGACACGACCGTACGGCGCAACGGCTCGCAGGCGAATGAATGCGCAAGCACCACTCTTCCGAGTTCCGCGTCATGCGTGCCGCTACTGATCCCCCTTCCCTCTACTCTTCTTCCTCCGGCCGGCGCCACCGTCTCCCCACCTCGTCGCCTCCCTTCCACGATGCTCTGAGCGCGTGTGCGGTCGGCGCATCAATTATGTCTGAATTGGAACTGACGGGGGTACTGGAGGATCAAAGATTCGTCCAGTGTTTCCGAAATTTCTTTCTTTTCCGTCTTTGTATACCTATGCAATTTTATATTGTCAAACATTGTCTTCAAAAGTAAAGAAAGAGAATGTTCATGCATAAAATATTGTTGAAACTGTTTATAATCGAACTTATACATTTTGCTAATTGTATTAATGGGCAAAGTTTAATATTAATATAAATCTATTAATACATTTTCTTTGTGAGATATTGACAATCAAGTAATCAATGTAAACATTATTTAATAACATTCAGATATGATAAAAGTGTAAATGTATATATGGAATGCAAATAATTACTATTATGATTGTCAAATAATGATAAGTTGCAATTGTATTTCTGGGATATATTATCTTTCGGATTAATATCAGCTTCACAATCTTTGCCTTCAATTGTAAAATAGCTTTCGATCGTTGATAAAGAATTTTCACAATCGAAGAGCTAAATTACATGGAAACTGATAAGCAATAAAGAAACAAAGTCAAATCCTTTTATTTATTTTTCTATCAGGCTTTTCAATCACGTAAAACGTATATAGCTATTAGCTAATCCAAGTAAAATATATTTATAAGTAAACTGTATATATATAAATGTATATGTTTATATAACTAATAGTTTTGATTCATAATTGCAAAAATAAAATTGCAACTTTCATAGTTTTATCAAAAATATAAATAATAATACCTCTTATAATTATATGCGACTTTTATGTCGAATGAGCTTGAAGGATGCGAGATGATTGTGACATAATAATGTATTCCATAAACCACGCAACCGCAATCGATAATCAGTGTCACTTCGATTTTCACGCAATTTGACCGCTGAAGGTTATAAAGCGTGACAGAGACCATAATTGTAGCCTATAAAGATTAATATATTGTAATAAATGTTATGTAATGTAATTAATAACATTAAATGTTCAAAAGATTCAAATGATTAGAATTAATATAATTATTTAATATTTTTATATAATTGCGTGCATCTAATTTTTTACATTTACATATATTAATTATTGTATACTTAATAATTTATAATTAAAAATTAAATTATTAAGAGAGAGATTTTTTGTTTCAAAAAAATATTTTTGTTCGAATCGCGGAATTTATTATAGTCGGTTATAAATAAATATACATACTCTTCCTTTCGATTAAAACTATTTTTCTATTCCTAAACAATTTATATTTATAGCTTCCGCCTGAATAAAATCTGCTTGGGATATATTGATAGCTCCGTGAAATGGTTTGGAAAATAGGATTGATCACGCGATATGTGCGAGACGCAAACGAAATTCATCCATCCATGGTGCATTCATTTTAGAGAAAAAAATATTTGCGGTAATATTGGTAGAAATATTGTATTTGTAGATGATAGTTCAGTACAAAAAAATATTTAGCTTTGATTAGCTAATTTTCAACGATGAATAATCCAGTAATCGATATTTAATAAGCAATATTTAAATAAAAATATTTGGAATAAAAATAATTATATAAGTCTTTTATTTTATTCGCCTTCCTTCATAATATAGAAAATATTAATATTTAAATCACAAAATATCTTGTATTTAGTTTATATTACTCGACAAGAATAAAATATAAATATATAAATGCATTTATAACATATATACAAATATACAAATAAAAATAAAATTCTTTTACTTATATTTCTTACTTCTTATTTAGATACTACTTACTATTTATATTCTTTTCTTACATTTTAAAAGGTAGGAAGGGATAACTGTTGTTATTAGGTATAGAAAATTATCTTATTATAGCATCTCGATGGACGGATGAATGGAATGGCTCAGGTACGTTTAGATGCAACAATGTTGAACGTAGAACATGAAGAATGAATGGACAGGATCAGTGAATGAACGTACCGGACGTATCCGTATGAGACAGGAGGAGGATGAGCGGGGAGCTTCGGATTCCATTCCCATTCCCCGATCCCAGTTCCATTCTCATTCTCTCAATCCTTTCGATATGCCTTGTGCCGTGAATGAACAAGATTGAAATCCGTAAAGATAAAGGATTTCCTGCCGCAATTCATTGAGTACTGTCAAATCACGTTTCTTTCGCAAATCTATTTTAATCGATAGTGATGAAACTTCAAAGAATAAATAATATTATCTCTATCAAATCGGTCGCTGACGTTATACAATTTAAATATTATTTTATGGTTTACAGAAACTCGTATTAGCAATGATAGGAAGACAAAAGCTTGTCATTTATCTATAGCTAAAATAGCTGTACACAATTATGAATATATTACTTATGTATCTTTTTTATATAAAAAAAATAACAAGTTTATCAAACGAACTGAGATGTAATCTCGGAAGTCCTTCTAAGATTATCTTTGTTGAAGAACTTTCGAATATTTCTTGGAAAAGATGTTGAGAAATGTAAGTAACTTCTTAGTATTCAGGAAATTATGTACCGCGACTATCTAAATTTAAATTTAAATCTGATATTTATCAGAGAGACAAAAAGAAAAAGAAACAGAAAGAGAAGAAGGGAAGATTGAAGATTGAAATTTGTTGTATTTATAATAAAAAATCAAATATTTCATTATTATATTAAGTATTAATTTCAATAATTATAAAAATGTTCGCGTTTACATGCTATTTATCACATAGCACTTGGCAGCAACTGTATCTATATAGATTCTCTCCCTTTTCAGTTTTTTCTTATACTCGATTCCGACAACAGAATCTGACAAGATTACGAAATGCTTTATGCGAAGTGCTAAGATTCAGATAAAAAAAGGTAGGAGACTAAGAACTCACCTAACGGTCATGGTAGCAGGTTACAGACTTGTAGAACGAACAGTGGTCGATCTTTTACTCTCGAAACTGACTGCCAAAGGCCAAAGAGCGACAATGCTGTTTGAATATTGAACGCATAGCCCTCTTGGAATGTCATTCTTCGTAGTTGACCAACACAACACAATTTCTTCTTTCTTATTGAGAAGGATAAACCTTTATAATATTTCGAGCCTCTCCTGTTACATTCACATCCAAACCTGCACAAAATAAAATTTTATGGTTCCGATGTGAAAAGTTGTATTTCCTGTAATGGTATATGTTTTGATTCTGATGTTTTAGTTTTGGTTTTATTAAAAAAATTATTGTTCTTTGATGGCAATATATGAAACGCATATTATCTTTCATTAAACTAAATAAATCAAGTAAAAACCATTAATTTATGAAAATAAATTTTTGACACCATTTGTGTAAATTGAAAATAAGTGTTATGATAACTAATTTTTTGATTGATAACTATTTTTTAAGTATGTTGTATTCCTTAAAAACATATGATTTTTTAAATATCTGATCTTTAAAATATTTTATATTGATAATGATTTATTTGTAAAATCATGTTTTAATAATGTGTATAATTTATACATTAAGGCATATTTTCATAATTTTTTTTTAATGGATTAAAATATAAATCTCTAGAGAGAAGAGATTCTCTAATCTCTTATTTATAGAAATGAGAATATACCTAAATGTTTAATATAAAATGTTTAATATTGTAAAACGGATTGAAAAAAAATATTTATCAACTAATTACTTTGCAGATTTTGTAAATTTCATCGAGAAATCATTGGTTAACTAAATATAACTAGCTTCTATTCAATTTTTTACAGTCACTAATTACAATTATTCTTGCATTGTCATCATTACTGTCGCGTGATTGTATTACCGTCATTATTTAAACTACGTAAAAAGGATTATTTGAATTTTGCTACATTTATTAAACTGGTATAATGTGATGTAATAGCATGATGGATGTGACAGCATGTTGTAAACTTTTAATAGATGTATGTGCAATCAAAAATTTTTTTAATCATTAATTTTTTTATATTAATTAATAATTTTTCTAGAAAAATTATCAAAATTAATCTACTCCAAATTGTCTTATATCATTTATAAAATCTTTTTCTAATAATTTTTATCCAATTAACATTTTACTTAAATAAATTTTTGCTTGAAATTATTGAATATTAATTGGATAATAATTATTGAATATTAGTAATGAATATTATTGGATAATATTAGTAATGAATATTATTGGATAATAATTATTAAATATTAGTAATGAAATCATTTAAAAAAATTCAAGAATATATGTACTAACAAGTAAGAGTTAATATGAGTTATATTAATGAGTTATATTAATTTGAGTTAATATGTATATTACCATATTTTCGTTCTCCACAGGATATCCAAGTTGAAAAGATTCTAATAAAATGTTTCGTCTCGTTGTCATTTTTTGACATGTTGGAAAAGTTTAATATTCCGTAATGACAAATTCTAATGTCACCGAGACAACAAACTTCAGAGAAAAGATGTTTCAGCAGGATTGAGGATACAAAAGGTAAGTATTGGCCGACAAAGATCCGCAGCGTATGCTGTGCCTACCACGAGCACCTGCCACTTATTTCCTCTCGCTCCTCAGCTTCCTTTTTTTGTTATTCTCTTTCCTTCTCTTTTTCTCTCTTTCATTCTTTCTTTTTTCATCTCCTATTAAGTGGGCTCGTCTCGGACAAGCCGGCTATCCCAAATGAAAGAGCAAGTGTTTTCTAAGGAATCTCCGACCGATGACAGATGTGCATATTGGTAAGTCGAAATTTTAATTTCTATCTTCTCGTTCATTTTTGTATCTCTAAACAAATGAAAATCTATGACCATCTAAATTATAACATTTCATTCTTGACATGTCAGATTTGGAGCATGATGAATTTCTTTTATATTTATATTTTTTTACCATGATCGATTTATAAAATAAGTTTATCTTTAAAAAAAAACTAAATTTACTGTATAACATTTAAATATAAAAATATAAATATTGTATATTTAAACATATCAGTTATTTAAATATATATCAGTTATTTAAATATAAAAGTATATTTAAAAGTAATAGTTACTTGATATTATAATATCTTTACCTGCAAACACTGCGAAATCCTTTGAGTTGTCACTTTGGCTTTCGGTTTATCGCTGTGTCATCGGGGACTTACTTAATTATGAAGACCCAAATGGTGTAAACAGTTGGGCGGCTCTGAAAGGCCATAAGGCCCTTCTCTTAAGATTGGTTGTTATGTTTGTTACCCGCACACCAACGGACCTTATCTAAATTGTTTTGGCGCCCTTGGACCCCATTAAGCAGGAAGATTGAGATAATTAGATTGGACGAATTTCTATAATACTCAATTATATGTCTGCCGTAGGCCTTGGAAACTCGCGAGGATTGAAAGTGGTTGGATCGAAATCTAATTCAAAGGTCTGCAGCTCCCATCTGGTCAATATATTTTCTCATTGATGAACTGGCGCATGTTTGTGCCTGCAATCCATAAAAAAAATTTATATTCAGATAAAATTACATTCGGAATTTTTACTCGAATTCTATATGCAAAGAAGAAAAAGAAATAAGCTGTCTTTTGCATGCTCTAATTCTGAATATATTTGTATGGATATTGTTTCAAAAATATATTAATTTTGAAGTGCCTATGCAAAAATGTATACATGAAGACAGAAACCTTAACATATTTAAAATCATACGTTAAAGAATTCCTATTTAATTATACATAAAAGATAGATTCGAGATTATATTGAAGGAAAATAATCATTAAATTTTATATTTAATATGCATAATAGTAAACAGATAAAAGAGAAAGAGAGAGAGATAAACAATTTTATTCATTTAATATTTATTTAATTTTATTTATTTAATAAAAACTTTAATAGAATTAATATAAAAAACTTTTTCTTTCATATTTTTCTAATATTTTCTTGTTTAATGTAATTCCAATAGACAAACAAATTAATACGAATATACACATACAAATTAATACAAATACGAGATTTAGTACAACTATATATAAATAATAAAATACTTACTCCAAACTTGCTGATGCCTGATCCCTTGGCCTTCTACTCAGCTCAGATTGTCAAAACAAACATGTTGTCTGTAACATATATAAGTAGAATCGAAATTATAGTAACGCTTAAAATCATATTTCAGACAAGAATAATATTATTTTATAATAGGTAAATTTTATATTCTATACGTACAATAAATAACAGATATAATATGGAATATATGTATAAAATATAAAATTATGTTTTCAAAATTTTTATTTAATATAATTCTAACAATTTTTTACTTAATATAACTTAATAAAAAAAAAAAAAAAAAAAAACCTATGTACTATTATATATATCTGTAACAAAAAAAACTATAAAAACATAAAATATATCCTATATCCTATTATATGTATCTGACAACAAAAAAATCTGATAACAAAAAGACTATGTATTATTTTATTATCTATGTACTATCAATGCGTAACATACAGGCTGCGGTCAAGACTGCACTATGAATGCTCCGAAACATCATTCTATCTTTATTCTCATGGAATTTAGAACAAAGATAAAATGATGTTTCAAAGCATCCAGAGCGTCTTCCCGACCGCAGCCACAGAGCGCGTCGTTATTCAAGTATTGCCGCGCGAATGACAGTAATACGATTCCACGTAAATAATAATACATCGCACGCGCAAAAGGCGTATTTAAGGCCGGATTTATATACTACGCTAATACGCGATTGAAGATTGCTAAAATATAATATTGATTATGGCTTACTTACTCATTAAATGCGTCGTGATTAGAGTCGATTCGTCCTGCGTCCGCAATCGTCCGAACATTACTGAAACGACGTCAACAATTTCACATCGATGTGATGCTTCGCCGCTTACTTTACGCGGGATATTTACTTCTGAAATAAACCATCGTTTCGTTATACTTACGAGTTATTCAAATTTGGTAAAATAATTGTGCGAAATGAGATTTACTTAGTAGAGAATGTAATCTCGTAATATTTTTACGCAACAGCATCTTGAAAATTAATGTGTAATGTACGGAGCGCGTGACGTCACTGCTTACCTTCTTGAGTGTCGCCGCGCAAATAACAATATAATGCGATCCCACGTAAATAATAATACACCGCACGTCGCCAAAATCGCCGGAGAGAGAGATTTACATATTACGCAATAGAAAATTATTAAACTATGATTCAAATTATATAACTTACCAATGCAAATGCATTACGATCCAAAATCAGTTTGTCTCGATATTTCATTACCAATGAGTACCAACTTCGAAACAATAATTATGTTGACAGTTTCACATTAATTATAGGGGAAAATAGTGCGGAAAAGTGACGCGAAAAACGCGCGAAGTTTAACTCGTTATTTATAATATAACTCATGATTTCCAGAAATTAAATACATATAAATAGCAAATACATGAATACAGTAGAAGTTTTAACAAATCACCGATGTTCATTAAACGCAATATTTGTACGCTATGCAATCGAAAATTATTAAAATGGAAAATTATTCAAATTATTAAATATAATTTTACATGACAATTATAAATATATATCATGAGGTAATAATTTATGTACATTATTATCGCTTCTATTTAGATTCGAAAAGTAAGGAATAAAAATATCTATCTATAAAGTTTTATCGCGTTGATATTTACTTTTCATAAATAAACACATGATATATTTTTGCTTCGAGCAAAATCGTCATCCTGATACATTTATGAGTTACTTAGCTATACAAGTTAAATAATTGTATAAAATAATAATAATAATGTTTATTAATAATAATATTTATTAATCATTCAGAGAATAGTCTTGTAATATTTTTCGTAATCAAAAATTAATGCATGTAATATAAATTAATTTATATAATAATTATTTATAATGATTTATATATTTATCAATTTACTTTTTATCTATTAATATGTAATAATAATAATTACATTTAATGATACCGATTTTTAATAATCATTTGTTTTTCATTTTTCGGATTGAAAACATGAGTAATACATCATGATCAATGAATTAAGAGAAAGAAATTAAAGTAAGAGAAAAATTAAAAAATTGATATACACTAAGAAATTGTATACAGACGAATGATATCTTTTTACAGATCTCAATTTTACATAAGTTGACAATGAAATTTTTTAACAGAAGATAGAATAACGAAATATTGCACTTATAATTGATATATTTAATTTTATTTGCTTTTTGTTTTTAAAATAACGTGTAAAGATAATGATATTTTTCTAGAAAACATATATTTATTTATATTTACATGAAATGTTATAATTACGCATTTGTGCGTATTCATAAAATTTTTTTTAATTAACTGATTAAATTTTTTAATTAACCATTAAATAATATATTAGGGATTAAGAAAATAAATATGTAATATTCGGATATGTAATATTCTAATCGATATAAATATTTCATGTTTTCTTTTTTGGAAAAAAATTTCTCTCTATTATGAAAGGTAATATATGATAGGTATAGTTGAGTTATATATGATAGGTATAGTTATTATTAAAAAAATAATATTAAATTAAAAATAAGATTTTCTTCAGATATAATAAAATTAATATATTTAAAAATTTTTAATATATTTTAAAATTTATTGCGAGTCATGTCATCAGATGAAATCACGATGATAAGAAATTCTATTCCGCGTTTTTACACGTCTTATGTTCCAAACACACATCATAACAGCACTTTTCCCATTCTTCACATTCGTGATCACTGTCACAAAAATTTGGTGGCTTGTACCATTCATACGTCCTGGGACAATGAGGCCTCAAAGGTGGGCACTGTTTTTTCGGCTTCATCATCTCGACTTCGTGCCAGGGATGTTCCATATGTGACTCGATGATGCCAAACCAGAACCATGGAAAGAAGAAGGAATGCCAGCTATGCTCTGATGAAGAGTCGTTTTTACCACTTGGACAACAATAGTATCGCTGATGGCTTTTGCACCAGTATTTGCAGGACTTTACATAAGCTTTCGTCAGGATGATGAACAACAGCAGAAGATATAGCGAGTTTCTGCGCATGCTGAAATAACTGTTATAAGAGAAATAACTGATACAATCCTGAAGAATATTATTTTGTTCTGTCATTAAGTTTTTTTTTCAAAATGCCAACGATGTAATGTGTGTAAAATATTATATAATATATAATCGTTTTATTTTTCTTTCTATCTATATAAAAACACATACATGCAAGAAAATTTTTTCGTGTAATCTATAAAATAATTACATAAGGAGAATATTTAATATATCCTTGTTTTTCTAAACTTATGACAATAGTTTTGTATCCTATATATCTTATGCAAGTCTATTATATATTTATATATTTATTATATATTATATATTTATATTTATTATATATTATATATATATATTTATTTATTTATTATATATTTATATATATAATATTATTATTTAAAAATATAATAATGATTATTCTTTGAAAAAGTAATGTAATAATTATAAATTAAAATTATTCTCTTATTTAAAATACAGGAGATTTTATATATTATTGTTAAAAAAACTCACTTTAAGATTCCTCTCAAGCTTTAAGCTTTATGCTTATTACTAGCGGCTCGACAATCTGCGATCTAATAGACAATAGTTTTTCGTTTAGCATGTTTTATACACAGAAGGAACACACCCCTACTCGAAGACAAAGCTTGTAAATTGCACAACGTCTTCAATACATCTGTCATTGTGGATGAGCAATACATGGTTCGCTCACTCGTACTCGATTTCACATGTCAACTTTGTAAAGTCTCGTCTGCGTCTGATTCATTTGGAAAAATGTCAAGAAACGTCAGAAACGCAAGATGTCACATTATTACGCGTTACAATAGAATGTCCAGGGCCGAATTTGCAAGACAATTTACATAAAATAATATCATATTTTAAAATTTAATATCGTGAGAAGTTATAATTTTAATATCATAAGCAAATTATATAATTGCTTATAATTTAAAAAAATTGATTTACATCTTTTTTATCTATCGTTATTATATCGATAAATAAATACAGAATAAAAATAATAATAAATTCCCTAAAACTGTATCTATATTTTATCAATATGATATTCGGAATAAATTCTATATATATTTTTATAAATATATATTTTTAAAATAATATTTCTATACATATAATAATATTTTTTTTTAGTCATTAATTACCAAAATATATGTATGCGACCCTGACAATAATAAAACGCAAATATATGAAGAACAGATGAAAAGACGAACAATTATCCCCATAGACATTTTCCTCTTCGCAATATTTACTAGAAAAGCTGTTTCTTCAAGAGACGTTGATCATTGGCCTATTCTACTTTGTCACATGCTAAAGAATTACACATCACAGCTATTTATTTTTCAAGAACATAAGCTTTATTTCGACTTTTAATTGTGTATACTATTAATTACATATAGGATCACAAACATTATTATGTATTGTATTTCACGACACCTATGAATTTATTCATTTATTCGAAAGCAATTTCGATATATGATATCGATTTTAGATAAGTTTTTATTCAGTTAACTCACCATGACAAATAAAAGAAAATAACAAATATAATAAAATTAGGAGCTATTTAAGAGTATTTAAATTCTGCAAATTAAAAATTTTAAGCGTTATTCAGAGCAGAAATTTAAATTTTCTGCTTTTAATTTTTTATTTTTTTCGCGTACTTTTTACAAAAATTGTCAAAAATTGAATTTATTGAGATTACAATCCTTGATTCTTTCATATATATAAAGAAATAATGCATATGTGTCTTTGTTTGGATAAATTTTTGTCAAATGTATTTCTTCATCTTTTTATACACTTATTGTATCTGAAGGATCATTATTGCATGGCTATGGCGTATGATAATAATCCTCCATTCAAATGCAAATTCGGCGAAATTATATTAACATTTTCCTTGATAGAAACTACGATAGATACTTAATGGTATAATAATAGTAATAGTCATTTATTCTATTTACTAATATTAGTGACAATATTATTTTATTATCAATATTTCAAGTGAAAAAAGAAATCATAGAATACCATATAATAGTTCGATGTAAAATTGAAATAGATTGGAGGCGCGGGCGAATTCTCGACCAATCAGCGACGCGGATTTTGAACATTTCGTCAGTTAATAATCGGACGGTAAATCGTGTAGATCGCGAGTGGTTTATCGCTCTAAATAATTATCGAAAACCGACGTTGTGCATCGAAATCGCGCTCGAATAAGTGATAGATCGCTAAAATTTGTTTCGTGAAATATGTAATAGTGTTCGTGATATGTTTTGTGAGTGATTAGTGATAGTAAACCAGACCAAAGTGAGGGCAACGTTCTTGGCAGGGAGGAGTAGCAAAGTAAGGGATATACCAGTGCGGGGATCAGAAGAGCTACGCGAAAATATTAAGGTAAGTGCTTCGATAATATGATATTCTCAAACTTTATTTTCTCGAAAAAGAGTCAATATTCCATATAATATACATTCTAATCGTCGACATAGTCGTTCATGCCAAATTTAAACGAGGTGTTCATTTATCATAATTAATAATATAAGTACAGTAATTTATATTTGACAAATATATTTCGATATTTGTTGTAAAAGGGAAGAATTATCATAAATAAAGCATTTATCACACATATTCGTCACTAAAATTCACACATATTTCTCACATAAAATTCTATTGATGGTTGCATAATTAGTCCAATTAATTTGATTGATATGCTATTTATGATGTTATATTTAATTGATAAATGAATAAAATGTATGGTTGGATAAATTACCTTGCAATTATATTTGCAAAAATCAAAATATCCCATTCAATTAGGGGGAAAAATTATTTTCTCTATAAAAGTATCTCTCTTACTTTTCCTTTTATAATTTTTTCTATAAATCTGTTTATTTAAATACTCTTTTATTTGTCTAATAATTATTAGTAGTACAATTCTATTTTTATTAGAATATTGATATTAAGAATTAAATATTTTGTTAATATATAATATGATTCATAATATTATAATAATGTAAATATATAATAATGTAAATATCACATTGCTACTATTTTTAATATGCAAAAATAATTGTTTCTTTATTTTCATACAATGAAAAATATTACACTATATTATTTTATGAATTTATATAATATAAAAATAACATATATAGGATGTTATCTAGAAATCAATGATTTTTCTATGTTATAACATAATTTGAGGATATATGCTTTAACAACTTATTAATTATACAACAATAACATATTAACAAAATATTATAATAATATTATTACATATATATGTACATTATGGAATATACAAAGTATTTAATATATTTTCATCAAAAAGATATTTTCATTTGAAAAAATTAATATTTCTATCACATGTTTGTGCAAGCAAAATAATTTTTCAACATTTTTTTCTATTTCTCTAATATTTCTAAAATATTTAATGTTACATATTATGCAAAATATTCTAATATACAATTATAATAGATTATAATCATAATAGATTAATATGGAAAGCTTATTTTTATTGAAAAATTTTTTTTTAGAATTTCTCTCTCTTTTTATTTTCATAAAAAAATTTCAAATTATAAATTATATATTCACATATTTGTCTTTTATAATTTTGCAACTGTAAGAAAACAAAATAATTAAGATTTTTCTGAACTGATATTATATGATTAGAAATTTCATAAAAATTTTGCTATTCTACAATATATAATTAGATTGGAACATTGCGATACATATTTTATAAAAATTTACATTTCAATATTATTACACATTTTTTATATTACAAGTTATATATTTTTACACACGAGCAAAACAGAAAGAATAGAGGATGCTCTTGTTGAAATAGCATTTTCAATAAGTAAAATTTTGTCAGGAAAGAGCTTGTGCATGATAACAATTACATTACATATGTAAATACTTAACAACTGAGCGTGTATCTAGAAAAAAAAGTATATAGTTATAAAAAGAAGCATTTGCTATAGATACTGTAGAATATATAGCATATTATAAAATATTGATCATTAATATTAATCTAAATAAATGCAAATGCTTCTTCTGATTCATGTCATTCCATTGTCAACTCATTTATTATCATATCACAATATTATAGATAAAATATTACGATTCTGTGTTTTATGTTTAAATTAGCCATCATTTGCAGATTAATTATAATACCCTGAGTAATCGCTAAATTAAGGAAATATACACATAACTAGTTTTATACTAGTTTTATTGTTCAAAAAATCTATAAATAAGTATGGTTAAAAATATTTTGTAGAATACTTTGCAGAATACTTTAAATATCCTTTTTTTGTACTTGTGTGAAAAATAAATTTTATGATTCACAATGTTATTTATTATAATATATAATATAAACAGTAGAATGCAATAAATTATAACATTTTTATCGGTGGTCTTTTTTATCTTTAGTAAAGTAATAAGTGATATAGTTATTACAAGTTAATACAGTCATTTATTAATTGTTCACAGTTGATTAATAGATTCTAATTCATTTGTGAATAACAGTGGATTTAAATATATTACAATGTTTGTGTTATATCATATATGTTATATCAAATATATCATATATAATTAATAAATTTTTGTGAATTTATATTTAGTAATCAAATATAAATAGTAAACTTATTTGCAAATAACTTCCTCTAAAATTCTGACTGCAAAAATTTCATAATTCAAATTAACTTGTTTCTTACAATTAGTTTGAATCGATTTGAATTTTTTCTCTCATCATTTCAATTAAAATCATATATATGTCGCATTAATTTTATCTTATAAAAAATAGTAAAAAAAAACGTATTTTTAGATCCTTTTATATTGCTTCAATTTGAAGAAATTTGAAGAATAGTTACATTATTCTATTCTTAATGTATATGCAACTGCAATGAGCTACAGAGAGAACCTATAACTTTAGCTTTAATCTTATTATATTCATTTAATTATGGAAAATATTTCGTCGATGTCTCGTGGAAAAATAAATCGCTTTGTTTTTAAGTCGCTTTATCTCCCGATACATTCGACTCCATAGTTGTCGTGTATAACTAAAGTTTCATACTCCAAATAGGGCATTTCCTGGCCGTTCAGTGGTATGTAGCATACCTGATGATTCGGTTGTATCTTACCAATGTGGTAAACGCCTTCGTGCAGTACTCTACCAATGAATAAAGCGTAACCATCTTCGGTTTCGCCAGCAGGTAGTGCGTGCAAAGGTACACTACCTTCCCAAGATTTTACCCAACTCACGTCCTTGCCGCATAATACTTGGAACTCGCGTTTCTCGTGAGCTTCGCCACCCCATGCGAGTGTACAAATATTATCGCGAATGCCACCTGGTGTAACGGTGCTTTGATGATGCGCTCGACCGACGTACAAACCATCTTCAGAAGCCATCACCGCGTTTCGTGGCAATCCAGAAGCCTCGTTAAAATCCACCCAGAAATGGCACGTGTCCACCAATTGCTGTCTAATGGCTGGTGACGTGAACTGGCATTCTGTAGTAGTATAAACTTTTAAACAAATTTCTAAGAATTTTTTCCTATGCAAAATTTGATTAATTAATTTGGTATAAGACTTTTACGATGTTTGATTATGCTGTAATTTAACAATCTTAAAATGTGTGACTAATGTTTTTAAAATTTCTGCAAGTGGCAAGAATGAATTAGCGTACCTTCGATTATCCACTGTCCAGTTGCACCCCAAGCAGTGCTAACTCCTATATAATTTATAACAAATGGGTTTCTGTCTTTATAAGACATAAATGGCATGTCAAAATCATCCTCACGGCTAACACTTAATAATCCATCACAAGACCATCTGTAAAATAAATTAATTTAAAGAGATTAGAGTGAGAAATGTAAATATATATTCATGTCTCTAAATTCATCAGATAGAAAATAAATATATAATTTCCTTACTGTATAAAAATATCACACATTTCATCAGGATTCAATATATCTCTAGTATCTGCTTCCGCTACATCTGGTTCTACATTATTTCTTTTTATTGCTGACATAGTATTTCCCCATCCTCCGATAATAATCTAATGCAAAAGGAATTAATATTTTAATGCAAGATAAAGTAATATTATATAATAGAATAATATAAGAATATTCTTTTAATGATTAAGATATATATATATATATATATATATATATATATATATATACGATAAAAGATACAAATAGAATGAAAGTAAATTATTGTTTAAGTGGATAGTAAAGCAATATACCTCATACACATTGGAGTCACCACCAAGATGTGTTCGTAAGGCAATTCTTGCATCATGACTGGCTTTGATACCTAAACTAACGCTGTTTTTTGTGATAGGTATGTAGCGATAATCAAGACTGTCTGCTGTAGTAATTCGAACTGAAATGAATTTTATTAGTCAGTATAATTAGGACAGTTAGAAATCCAAAATATAATAACTGTTGTTTCTTTTTTCTTTTAAGGAAAATAAATTGTTAATTTTCTATTTTCTAAGGAAATAATTAATCGAGATATATAATTTATAATAGGAATGAACTCACTTGGACTCATTTTTTGAAAAATATTATCTGGTTCAAGAGCTGGTCCAAAAGCTGGTCCAAAAGCAGGTCCAAAATCAAATATATCATATAAATGATTCATATTAATCAAATATCGTTCATATTGGCATGATGTGTGCTATCCACCATCTGACAATTCACAATTTAAGAGCTCCAACGAATTATCTGTTTTTTGTTATCTCAATCACTTATCGCTTAAAATAAATAAAACAATTCACATTAAAATTCCCTATCTTATTAAATCGTTCCTTATTAATAATTGATAGCCATAAATGTAGAAAATAACATTTGTTCTCTTTCATCTAACCTTCTTCTCCAAATTTATTTATCTCGTGACGATAATCATGTATCAACATATTCATGTTAGAATAGAACAAATAATATAAATTATGTATATAACAGAAATATTAATATAACGGTCCTTATTAGGAACCATGAACTTTTGTATATATATTAAAACTCCAAATGGCGTAGAAATAACATGTTTTAGCAATGTTGCTTCTAAGATCATGCAGAAGATTTTTAGACTATATATTTAAACTTAATTTACACCATGTTTTTTTAGGATCAGTATTAGCACACAAGGTAAAAAGAATTTTATCACACAAAATAGATGGGCATATTAACATTAAATCAGGAATTGCCTATAAATATATTGAGATAAAATATCTATCTTATCACATGATGTGTCAGTGTGCTGACATAACTATGTACATAGCTAAAAAACATCGTATAAACCATGCTTTATATTGATAAACTGCGCACTTTTACTAAAGGTAAAAGGTTAACATCAATGAAAGAAGTCAATAGACAGATGCTTTTTTTGTTTGATTCTTTTCGTCGACTGCAAAATCAGACAAGAAAACACATCCGAATATTACTCTTTTTCATTGATACTATTTCTTGTCTCCAAGAGCGTGCAGTTTATCTGTGTAAATCTATATGTCAGATGATGCAACATTTAGATTCAACACGTGCACAGCAATCGGCACGGCTTTCGAAACTTGATCAACAGTCATCAATAGTCTAAATCGCACGCTCGAGAATTCGTGATAGACAAAGACAAAATTCACAACTTTTTACAACTCACTGAAATGCATGACAGTTCAATTATATCGGTGCTGCTCATCGAGAAGGCTCGCAATATGATCAAGCGAGCGCCTTTATCCTGTCAATCGAAAAGATACGATCGAACGTTTGTCACGTCGCGAATTATAGATTCTACGATCCTGCACTCATGTCCCGCACGACGGACATTCTCCGTCTGTTGTCACGATGCCAGCGATATTGCGATATTCGATACTTTCATCTCGATATTCTAACGATAAGTTAGAACCATTGATACTTTCGTTCGATGCTATAAAAGTATCGATTATTTTTTTTAACTGCAAGTTTCATCAGAAGGAGATGTCTTATATTTATTATTAATATATAGCTTTTTTATTTTATTAATTTAGCATTTTTTCTTATTAATATTTAGCATTAAAAAAATATAAAAATTATTATACTTTGTATTCGCAATAAGAGAATCTTAAAGTACGGTCTTAAGTTGCGATATATCGCGCGCCAAATTAAATTCGGAATATTCTTCGAAAGATACATTTGCATTTAAATACATGCAGTGTTTCGTTTGAAGATAAGATACCATCAATTGCTTTTCTCGAAGGTCAAGATTTTACTCACATTGGTGTCAAAGAGAGTAGCACGCTCGGAATTAATTGCCTTCGACTTTCCATTCTGATTTTACTTTCTGTACTCTATAACACGCACACAAACATTAGTATTATAGAAAGCAATAAATTACACGTGCACGCACAATTCTTATCTCTAGGATCAAGAAATTTAATGTATGTATATGCACTTAATAATAGTAATAATAATAGTAATAATAGTAATAATAATATCTTAATGACAAATCACCTAAAGCAAATTCTTCTTGTTAATGTTGCGCGTATATTTTTCTGTTATTTTACACTAAAAATTAATTAATAATGATACATATTAAGCACGCACGAAGTAATGTACAATTCATTGGAAAAAATTCATCAAATATTATTTGCGTGCTAACACTAAATATCGCATATACGCAAATCAATAGAAACATTGACATTTAGGTGCATCAGCTGGGTCATTGCCATCCAAGTGAAATACATCTGATTAACTTAGGATCACAGTACGCGCTTGAATGAATATGGGTGAATGCACGCACGTGCAGAAAGTAGAAAGCATTAAAAAGGACAACGGGAACACAAAACTATAAACATCATAGATGCACCGTGAAAAACTACTCCGATTTCCGCGATCAAATTGACTGTAATCTTTTCTGCTTCATTTACGAACTCTCAAAGTTAATGCATGAATTTGGAACGTCGCTTATATCGGGCAATTACATGTCAATTATTCTGACCGACTTTTTACGAGCTTTTTCTCTTTTGTAATTTATTATTTAATATTATGTTTATCAGAAATAATATTTACATTATTAAATAATATTTACATTATTAAATAATATTTACATTATTAAATTTTTTCTTTTTAAAATCATTTATTTCTGATATAACTAATAATCTTGTAATATCTTATAATAGAGTCTCGAATCGATAATAAAAATTTTAGATATGGGCGTTTAATATTTAAAAAAATTATTGCAAATAATATATAAAAGAAAGATTGAACTTAATGAGCTAAGATTTCAACGCTTTCTATCAAAGAGTGCAAACTAAGAGAAATAAAAATTCTCTCACATTAGATTTGCTATATTTAAGGGAATAACAAAGAACTTTCTTTTTTACGTAGAAACATTATTATTCAGGCAAGATACTCGGTTTATACATATGTATGTAAAATACGTCTGAAATATCCTTCGACTCCTGTCAGGAATTTCAATTTTGACTCAAAGTTTCTGTAAAAGCGTATATTGAAATATCAGCGAAAAATTGATCTAATCCAATGGTAAATTATGTAGTAAGTAAATGATGTATAAATATCATAATCTAATATTTAATATCTTACATGTTAAGTGCTTATATATATACTACACATTGCAATATATTATATAATTGAAATTGAATTCTTGTTTACAGTAATTTATAATAGATTCATATATCTCAATAATTTTTAGCAAATGCTAATCTTATTAAGCTTTTAATGTCATAAAATTATTTATACATGTATGACATAATAAGAAATTATTAAAATTGAAGTATTTATAATTTTAATCATATCATTTCTTTATGTATAAAAAAAGTTTGTATTTTATCGTTAATTATAGTATTATATTTTATGATATGAGATAAGAAAAACTTTGCTAGAATACTTGTTGAGAATCTTGTTAATGCAAATGGATATTGCAGATTAATAATAATATAAATTACGCAAATCATACATACATTTTTATGATGAACATATCCAAAGAGATATCTGTTTTCATAGGCACTGCTCGCAGATACTATGTAGCGCACTCATTGTAATGTTAAAAAGTACTGTAATATACGCAGCTGATTATTGCAATAAGATTAAGGCGGACAGCGCTCTTCTTAGAATCCCTTTCGTATGTTAGATAGGTAGGTCACATCGTGTCATGTATAGTTCTCTATGTAGTTGCATGGAGAGGTGACCCATTGCTTTCCCTGTAAAAGTGAAGAGCTAAAGCAGGTTGGCTCGTTTCTCTCTATTCTGTATGGTTGGGTCCCGACCAATGTCACATCAGTATGTGCACACCGAGATCGCTTTTACCTTTTCGTAAAGCGAGGGAGTGGGTTGCTGGGGGTATAAAACAGAAAACAGCGCTTTTACCAGCTAATATATGTGTAGTTCCATTTTAGTAGACAACAGAGATCCATAGTTTTTACCAAGTTGACATTAGTTATTGTTAAGACGTGGCGACAGTCAGGATGTTATTAGTAAGTAAATATATATATCAGTATATAATGCACAAAATAAAATAGTGAAAAGCTTACAAAATAAAATAGTGAAAAGCTTACAAAAGCAAAATATTTAATTTAATATTATTAAATACTTAATAATTTCAAAAAAAAATAATTCAGTATATTTATCGTGTCACACGTGATGTATAAATAAAGAGATATATTATAATATATTCAATTTTTGAAAAATAACATAATACATTATTATTACACATGTTATTGTCCAAGAAAAGTTTTTTTGAATGAAATTTTATTTTATTAATTGATTTTGACAGAAAAAATGTGAAAAATATGTAAATTATATTATTTTTAAAATTCTTATTTAACAGTAGGCAGAATAATTTAGAAAAATTATAAATGTATATATATATATATATATATATATATATATATATTTTTTTTTTTTATGGAATAATTATATATATTTTCTAATTTCTGATGAGAGATAATTATTTTTTTAGAGAGCAGTGATAATTTGTTGTACGATAGTTGTAAATGCGGAGCCACCTCTTAATAGTACGTATTAGTAAAGTTTTGTTTTTTTGTATATGTATGTTCTCATAAAATTTTATATATATTATTAAAATTAATTATTATCATAAGATATTTTGGAAGCAAAATATTAATATTATTGAAATTTACAATTATTAATATTATTGAAATTTACAATTTAAAATAAATAAATCACACTTTAATTGAAACATTATTTTATTGTAGGCTATTCTTTTACTGGAGATAGCAATGGGTATGATTACAGTAACACCGCTAATAATGCGTATTTACAATCTAAGAATAGCTATCAAAACGATGGAAACTATTACGGTACTGGAGATGGAAGTCACAAATTATCCGATCATGTCAGCGGTCAATCGTTAATCAATGTCGGTAATCAGGGCAATATAGGAAGCGACATTGGAAAAAATTACAACGAATATGCCGCAAATATTCCCAGAAATGAATATGCAGGATACTCCAATACTTATGGGAATTCTGATAGTGATTCTTACACTTCGCCTACTCGTGCAGCAACTAATACACTGTTCAGTGGATTAGATTCTAATTCTAACAACAATGCGGAATCAACGTTTAACGCGTATTCAAGTGCTCCAATTTACAAGGATTCCGATTTCAGCCAATTCGCGGCTAGCAGCACTAGTAGTAAAAGAGTGCCTGCTTATTCTGAATATTCGAGGCCAGCTATAGAAAATTATTCCGGAGATTCCGTTAACAGCGATGTACAAGGATATCTTGGTTCGTCTAGCTCCTCGAGTTATTCTGAAAATGATCACGTTTATCCCCCTTATTTGCCAGGCGGTTTGACTAGCGAATACTCATTTGGAAAGCAGAAAAACGTTCTGTACAATCTAAAAGACAGCAATAAGTACAATGATATCTATTCGATACCATCCGAGACGCGTTTCACGCGGGGAAACGTGGGACACGTGAGCCATAATCACGATGTTTCACCGTATATATCGGGTTCTAGGCCGAGTGGTCATTTCTTGAAGACACATACTTCTGGTATTTACTCCGTAGGAAAACCGAATAAATATAGTTACAAGTATTTGTCTCGCTATGCTCCGAATAGCGGCGTAACTTACTCGAGAGAACGCAATGGTTATTATGCTCCTTACGGTAAAGATAGTAGAAAAATTATTATAATTAAAGACGGCAGACCGAATTACACAGGTCGCGTTTACTCTGATGAGTCGGGTTACGCGAGTAGCAACGGTAGTTACAGAAGTAAGAGCGGTACTTTCATGAACGGTTATTCCGCTTCGAATTTTGATGCATATAGTGGTAGTAATAGTAATAGTAATTATAATGACAATCCCACTGTGTCAAGACGATATAGAATCAGCGGCCCAATGCTTATGAAAAGAGCTATTCCTGCTTAATATTTTTATAAGGTAATATTTAAAAAGTATAATATATATACACACAATGATGTGTTTGAGATCTGTGTATATAGATGCATATTTATTTTATAAGTATTTTAATAGGAATATTTGCATTTTGATGCATTATTCAAAATAAAAATGCCGTTTAGTTTTTTATAAATATTGAAGTGTGGCTGTTTCTATTATTTTTCCCCTATCACACAATCATGTATAAAAATGTTATACAATTATAATTTTTTTTTAATTTTTATTGCACATAATAATATAATCTATAGAGGAAAAATGTTTACATCTTCTTATGTTTACATTTATTAAAAAAACTTCTCTAAAAAATATTTCTTTCAACAGAATCAACATTGGTTCAGGTATAAAATAAATTATTATATATATATAGATAAAGATACAAGAATTGTTCCATATAATAGCAGCTAATATTCATTTAATATTATTAAAAAATTAAAATTTTTTTTCAATAGAATACATGCACATATCTTAGATTTATTTATATTTATTTTTTAAATATTATTAAATTTTATTGCGCATAAATTGTTTGTACCTAATCTATGGTAAACATACTGTGGAAAATTCTAAAATTATTTTATAATGAAAGTTTCAGTTACTATTCTATGATTGTTTTATGTATGAATAAACTAACATTTTTTTATCAAACATATCCTGGAATTTTTAATATAATATTTATGGAGGTGTCCTTGATAATTTAGGCTTGGCCAAAAATGCTTCTTCTTCTTTAATAAGTTCTGGATCATTTTTCCATGAATTATCCTTAACTATATTGTTATCATAATTATTACTATTCCTACAAACAATACTATTACTAGATGGATTTATAAGAGCTATACATATATATATATATATATATATATATATATATATATATATATATAATCTAGACAATTCAGCAAAAGTATTTTATTGAAACAAATGTAATAAGTATAATTTATTTAAAATATAATTCATTATAAACATACATAAATTATTGTAAAGCATATGTATATAATAATTAAATAATACAAAAGACATGTATTAAATAATATAAAATGTGCTTCAACAATACAAATAAATATTCGAAAATTGTGAGAAGTGCAATGTGAATATATAAAATTACTCACAGCGAAGCTATACTGCTGAATTTCTCTATTTCTGTAAAAATCAAATTTATAAACATTTTACTTAAAATGCAATAATAGTAAGAATAATAAAAAATTAATTTTTTATTCTTTTTAATTAATTTCAGTAGAAATAATTTGCATCTATTAATTTCTATTAAATTACATGAATGTATATGAGTCAAGATGTCTTAAATTGCTATTTGAAACATGATATTTCTTAAATAACTACTAATGGTACTTTGATCATTGTATGTTGTCTAACTGATTAATATTTATTTAAGTTTCCACCGCTTTCGTTTACGTGCTCTAATTTTTCCAAGATGTTCTAAACATGTAAGGAAAGTCACAAAGCTTTCACTGAATGGCACTTGTAATTTATTCTCTTAATGTGCCACGTTCGTCATTTTTAAGTTAGTGTATTTTTAGTAGATGAAAAAATAATTGGAAAGTCTCTTGCTCAGAATATTTAAACAAAGTTAGAAATGTGAAATACATACCTGTTTGACCACTCTCACGACCAAGAGTCACAGAAGATGTTATTGCAGTCTCACTACTATCCCTGTAAAACGATAGTTATTAATTATAAACTATAAGTTAACTATAAGTTATATATATATATATATATATATATATATATATATATACATGACTTTATATTTATTAAATCACTTTTGAATTCAGTTAAATTAAATTAATTAATAACGCACTTGGAAGTTCGATTTTCATATAAATAAATGGTATCATTTGAAATTGTTTTTTGAGAATAATTTGGATTAAAAGATTTTATAGCTTTTAAAGGTAATTTTTCCCACTCTGTTTTCCATTTTCCATCATAGAATTTTTCTATATCAATCCTATTTTGTGATCGTAATTTTAATTGATCTATTTGAACATTATTTGTTTTGATATTATCGTAATCAAATTCATATTGATTTTGATTCTTGTTTTTAATCATGCTTGATGGCCAAACTATATTTTTTAATATATTTAAATTTTTATTTTGTTCTTTACATAGTCGAGTTTCGTATTTTATAATTGAAGAAGATTCGGTACTGACGAATCTTTTTGCAATATTTTCAATTTTATCTACAGAGAGTGATTCTTTATTCGTGCTATTTGTGATAATTTGCTGTTCCTTGAAGGAATTATAAATATTTATATATATTATATAGAAAGAGATTTAGTCGATAAAAATTCCTTATGAATTTACTTCGGATATTATACCTTCAAAGAGAAATCAGATAAATTCGATATTTGTTTAGTAAGAGCTGTTTCTTTAATACAATTTTCTTTCGATAGCATTTTATTTTTCATCCTCAAATTGTACCTACTATTTCAATTTACTATTATTAATAATCAAATTAATCTTCAGCTGTATGTATGACATTTATGTAACATATATGTCATTAAGAAAAAAATTTACTAATTTGATTATTTTTCTATGTAAAAAGAGATAATTTTAGAATGTACAATTTGTACATATAAACACCTTAAGGTAGGATAGGACGGGCGTTTATTACGAAGATGATTATTGTGTTGATTGTCGTAAATATTGATAGGATTCAACGTAGATATCTTTTGTAGAGTTGTATCCGTGGTTATAGCATCTTGAGGAATCTTTGAAGAAACACTATAACACATTGCAAGTAGCGTTTCTCCATTCAATTCACCGACATAATTTTGCAGCGGATCATTTTCATCTAATTCATTTTCCAACACATCCAACTCTTCCTATAAACATATTCTGATGCTCAGATAATATTCATTTGATAAATTTGCACTGTACTTACATTATCATCATCTCCAGTTTCTTCAGTCTGCGGTGTATTAACATTTTCATGCCTCTGTATTTGCAGTATATGCTCTAGATGCTTTCTATTGTATCGAAATTATCATTATTTAATTTTTTTAATAAAAGAGAATTGATATCTTCTAATCTAATATTTACAAATATGAACTTTCTAAATCATCATCCAAAGTAGAGATTTAGAATTTATAAGAAGACATTAGTCGATTATAAATGCGTGAATTGCACTTTAATGTGATTATGTTCTTATTTTTTATATAATAGAAATTTTAATATTTGTTTTTATATATTTAGAATATTTATTAGAATATTTCTAAAAATATAAATTTTTAGAAATTTCATATTTTATCCGAATATGTTTACCTTATTTTTGTAGTTTTCTGATTGCTTCCAAGATAATCCGATATATTCGAACCTTTCATTTTTCTTGCTTCCTCATTTATCACAGGATTGTTTAAAAAATTGTTTAGCGCTCCATTAATATATGGTAGAGACTAGTGAATAATATAAAAATTTTATGTAAATATTTCTTACATTAATTTCTAAGATTTTCTTCTAAATATTATATTTTCTAAAATATGTGCATGCAATTTTACTCACAGATGAATGATCTATCGAGAAAAGAATGAGTAGTGTAGAAACGAGTAAAGAAGATATCTTAGATGCTCTAGCTTGCGCTAACCGATGCAATGATAGATTCATTAAAAGTGCGGTAGCGTATTCAAGCCTGTATAAACTTATGATGCGGCATTTATCGTGTAGATGCTTGATTAACCATTCTAACAAGCCATTTTCTATCATGTATATCCTTTGTTGTCTACGTAAAGATAATTTCTGTAACATCGCTATCATCATATCACATGCCAAAATGTCAATTCCATCAGCGTAATTTCTATCGAGACAAGCAAAGATCTGAAATATCGTAATTTATCTTAACGTATGGTCACACATATAAATTTACATTTACAAAAACAAAAATATTTCATTCGAATTTAAAGATAAATTTGAATAAAATATTTTTGTTTGATTTCAAAATATTACGAATAATTATAGAAACATACACGCATGCAGATGATTAATTTAACATACTACGTTTACAACAGTAGATCCGACCGATAAGTAATCTCTTCCGCATCTGAAGGAAGCCAATGTGTTTAATAATCTTGCGGTGAACTGTTGTAAAAGATGCCTGGCATAAGCTTCTCCTGCAGTCAGCAAACATGGTAAAATTGGCTTGCCGCTATCGCTAGCAATTTGTCCATGAAGTCCTAACAAATCGTGGCTTATATATTCGTGCAGGACTTCATCCTGTTCGTTCAGCTGCGCGAGTGTTATTTTCTAAAAACATAAATATATTATTTAAAATAATTAATATACATCTCACTTTATATATTTATAAGTAATTTTAATACCCAACGCAATGCTTGCAACAGTAATAATTTTGTCTTCACATCGCCGTTAAGCAGATGTAACTTGATTTTTTTGTAGTCCAATAATTTTGGAGATACTGACGCTGCGATATGATCAAATTTAGGCTGGGACATTGCTTTTATGTTAGTATGTATACCGAATTGCAACAAGGATGGCTGTCGAAAATATTAGCAAAATTAAAAATACAAAGTTTATGAAAGATACGTTGTGATTTTTTGATACTTACATAAGAAGTTTCTCTTATATTTTGATTAAATAAATCTGGAAATATCTTCATGCAAATTTCAAGCGTTCTTTGTATATCAACAGTCTGCCCTTTCACCGAGTTTTCTAATGCCACCGTTAATTCCCCAGCAACATTTATTAGCTTATGATAGTCCGCGTGTAATTTATGAAATCTCACTTTTAATTTCTCGTAACTTGTATGAATACTGCATAAGTGAGTCTTGGTCAATGCCAATTCTTGATTGCATTGAATCAATTTTTTCTCTAGTTTGTGCATCTTCAGCAAACTATTAACACTTTCTCCCGGATTCAATAAATTTTCTCGCGAATCATTGATTATAATTTGGTCTCCAGTAATATATGTTTGTGTATCTCTGCAAATAATAACTCACGTACACGAATTGTTTTCTACAAGTTTCTTTACTAAAAGTATACAAAAAATATGTTCTTACTTCGACTTTAAATTACGACTTTTATGAGATAAACTGTACTGCTCCTCATCATCAGGATTTTCCAAAAATATGGGTATATCTCTATCGTTTGGCACAATTGACATATTATTCCTTGTAGTCTTATTTGCAGTATTTGATTCTGCAACACCCATTTTTGTTACTGGCATAATATGTACTAAATCTCGCGATTGCACTCTATTAAGATTTATATTCAAGTCGGCCAAATCCTGCAAATTTCGTAATAATTATAATTATAATTTACACTTTTCTTCGTTTCTTTTTTTATCGTACATAAACATATGATATAAAGAATTCGAGTTATTACATTGAATTTGCTCACTTGTTTGTGATTTGTAATAAATAAATCTAGATTTCTTAATAGCTCATCCAACCAATGTTGTTCTAATATTTTGGAGAAAAAAGTATCTGCATAAATATCTTCTATAAATGGTAACGCATAAAACGATTGTAATTCTTTGTCATTTTCTAATTCTTTGCCATCTCCATTCAAATAATCTTGTAATTGTTTCATGCTGTTATTGATATTTGTTTCGATTTCAGTTGCACTGTTCTGTTTATTGTTAATAACATCCTTAGGCTAATTACTTTTAAAATATTTCACATAATATATTATTACATTAAGCATTAACATTTTATTTTAAATGTAATATAACGCGAGAATATTCAAAAATAGTAAATATATACATAAAATTATAATTTTTAGAGATAATTCAAAAAAATATAAGTTACCTCCTTGTATCTTTCCATAATAGAATCTCCTTTTACTGAAGACAATTTTGATGTATTTATTTCTGATGTCAATTCTAGTTTATAACAAAAATTGAAAACGTTATATAAAGTATATAGATTAAATATATATATATATATATATATATATATATAATGCATAATTATTAACAATATATTTATATTTCTCACGTTTTTTATATTGATCAATGCCTAATTTACGTTTAGGTAATATAGCAAAATGCACATGTAAATAAAATGTTAATTTTTTGTATTCTTCACACTGTTTAGTGTTGTTAGAAAACAAATCCTCCCATAACTGAAAAGAATGAAATCTTTAGCTATTTTATATCAATTCAATCTCTTATATTAATTTAATTGCAGACATTTAATCATTAATCCTGTACAAAACTTTTTACCTGGAAAAAAGTCGAATAATCTCCGATATTGAAACATAATATTAATTGAGCATACGGATCTGCAGTAGCTTCTAATTTGTATGTTGAATTTTGGAAGCCCATTTTTGAAACTTCTTGAATTAAAGCTTTAGCAGTGCTCTCAAAATTATGATCTAGAAGAAACTATAAAAAAAGCAATTTTTTTAAATATGAAGTTTGCTTGAAAGAGAGCATATTAGTCACTTTAAATGTAATATTAGAGCTCGCATTTAATTAATGTACTATTAATTATACCTGATGGATTACTTTGATGTTTTTATCAGCCATTTAGTTCTCATATAAACAACTCACAATTAGTACATATTTCTTATTCAGTTTAAAAGTATAATTATTATAGAGAAAGTTATGTGAAATATTAATTAATTATAAATAACTTCTGTATATTTTTCAAAGTGTCATTGAAACAATTTATTATATTTGGCTATATTTGATTTTTACTCCACTTATTATTCAATTTATATTAACACAGATTTGACAGATATTTTTTTCGTAGAAACTCGTATTACGAAATGTGTTAGTTTAGGTCATTAATCGATTTTATGCAAATACACTATTGATTAACATACAGTGCCTGAAGAACGGCAAACGTGTATTCTGATATCTTGTAGTATCGCGCATTAAAATTCTAATTTTTAAAATTCACTTATTAAATGTAATCTTTCCAATATATTGCTATAAGCAATATTTATTATGATGTTCCGATAACCGTATAATAGAATTGATAATTTGCCATTGCCATGTGACCCGCGGAAGAAAACAAACGTTTGACGTTTACGACTGCGTACGACTGAGGAAGTTTCTGCTAGCTGTCAGTTTATCAATTTTCTCGTATACGCACGCGCACGTATTATGCACGCGGTCTCTCAGCTGTTTATAGTTCACAGTTGTTTACATTATCGTTCATCGACTTATCGATTTCTGAAATTGTTATTAGGATTAGCACGACATTAATTCATTCAATATTATTAAAGAAGATTGTGAAAATGACTGAGGAACAATGTTCTTTGTTGTCCAATACAGTAGTGTCACAGGTTTATTCTTATTAACTAACTGATATAGTCTTTATTCAGAACTTATATTTTAATTAAAAAAGAATTTGTGATTTTATATATATTATGTAAATCATAGATACCAGACACTGCGTGTTACATACCAAATTTTATTACCGAGGAAGAAGAGAGACAAGTTATAAAATACATAAATAGTGTACCACAACCAAAATGGACACAATTGAGTCATCGTAGATTGCAAAATTGGGGTGGTATACCACATCCTAAGGGAATGATAGCGGAAGAAATTCCTAGTGTAGGTAGTAAGAATGTAAAATATGTTGTTTTAAAAATGGAAAAACTGTAGGTTTTTTTATATTGTGACAGCAATTATAAGAAGTACTAGATTAAATGATTATATTAATCAAATATTAACACTGGTATATATATTTTAGTGGCTTCAGAAATATATTGATAAAGTGGCAGCTTTGAACGCTTTTGAAAATGGAGTGTTACCTAATCATGTTTTAATTAATGAATATTTATCAGGGCAAGGAATAATGGTATGTTAGATAAGCAAAAGACATAATTAATTTTCTTCACATAAATTTTTTCTACTACATAGATTATATTTATCTATATCAGTCAATAGAAAATGTGAAAGTATATACATGATATTATGAGAATAACACAGTGATTTCTCCAGGCACACTCAGATGGCCCGCTTTTTTATCCTGTCGTAACTACTATAAGTTGTGGTTCCCATACACTTCTTGACTTTTATAAACGGCTCGATACAACAGAGGTAGATACTACAATATACCAAGGCTGATATAATACATATTTATATGTAATCATATCATTTTTTTTGTAGCAACAACAGCCTAAGGTAGAATTTAGCTTATTACTAGAACGCAGAAGTCTATTAGTTCTACAAAAGGATTTATATCACAATTACTTGCATTCTATAGCAGAAAGAGATACAGATAGTATATCAGAATCTTCAATAAAAAATCTACATATGTGTATAAGAAAGTTTATGGAAGGAGAAATAATAAAACGTGATACTAGACTGTCTTTAACTATTAGACATGTACCAAAAACTAGCAAACTAAAATTAAAGATTTTTTGATGCATGTATTTTGATACATTGTCGAAATTTGAAGAAAATACAGTTACATTAAATAATATTGGCAATAAAAATAAAATTTTGTTTTTTTTTTTCTATTTTATCACTTATTTTAAATTATTTCTAGAATAAATTTAATTATGGACTGTCCTGCATTTGCACATTTGTATCTTCTGTATCATTCTCAAGGCTCATATCAATTATTTCTTCATCACATTTATCTAACATTCCTTGTAAAGAATGTATCGATGATATTAAAACATGAAATTGTTTACGACGCATTTCTAACTTGTGCTCCAATTGCTCTGATTTGTCCTACAAATAAAACATTACTCAAAAATAAAATCAATTTTTAAATTTATTTAAAAAAGATTGATTATATTATATATGTATAAAAACATGCTATCAAACCTTTAAAGTGGCTAATTCTTGCTGTAATGTGGCAAGCTTGATGTCTGTTTCCAACCGATCTGGTTGTTCATTGATGACTTTTGCTAATACATCGTATTCTATTCTATTCTTTCTCACACGTTTGGCTTCTTGCAATTCTATCTTAGTTTTTTCTATGTCTTCTTTGGCTTCTTCTATTTGTATTTCGATTTCTTTGGACAGCTTTTCATAGCTGTCTAATTCTTCTCGACTCATATTTGAGACTAATCTGGATTTTTTCTGTGCAAATTCGCATTGTGCCAATTGCGATAACATTCTTTCGTGTAATGTATTATCTACATCAGAACTATTAATCCACTTTATGAATGATTTTAACAGCATATTGATTCTACGGTCATCTCCTGTCCCATCGCCGTCTATAAGCAATCTCCGGCGAATTACTTCTTCTATAAATTCAAATTCATAATTTAGATTATATATATTACTTTTATACAATACATATTTTTTAACTATCAACAGCCATCTAAGCCTTTATATTATATATATATATATATATATATATATATTAATTTTATTATTTTTTATATTAAAAATTATTTATCTTTTATATTATTATTATTATAGATTATTTATATTAAAAACAAAAAATATTTGTGTATATACATATGCACATTTAAAATTTTATAATTGCATTTATTGCTCAAATTATTATTCATTATTTTTTTTATACATTAATAATGACTATTATAATCATAGAGTATTATTGAAAATATGCTATTTACCATCAGACATCTCGTGATGTATTTATAACCAAGTCAACAATATTGACCATTGACGTTCATTGACGATTGATTGATGATTTGAGGATACTACGATTCTGATGCGATGTTTACATAGATATATACATTGAGTTTCAAGATGAGATACGCCATGTCGGCAAGTATTGCCACTAGAATGAGAAATCATAAGCTCTAAAGCACAGATGGTAATGAAGGATATAAAAGAGGATATAGTTACGAAAAAAAATATATATATGTATATATAAAATGATATATATACATTACGAAATGTCGGGATTATTGCAAATGAAAATTATAAATAAAAGATTTAAGAATTAAGATTTTTATAAATATGACAAATTTTTTGTACACACTTATATTGTTAAAATTAATATTTATATAAAGATTTATTAAAGATTTTCTTTTTACAATAGAAAAAAAGAAAAGCAAGGGAGAAATAATACTTTTCTCCTTTTTTTAAATAAAATTAATAACTGTACATTTCAATTCAATTATGATACAGTACATTAATCTAAATTGATACAATTTTCATGACTGTTAAATTTTTAAAAACGATTGTTGTTATTTAAAAAATATAAAATTTAATGTATAATTGAGAATAATTGAAAAATGTATTAATTATTTTCTTAAATACATCTAAAGTAAATGAAAGAGAGAGATGAATTTATTTCTTTTTCGGATTTTATAAATAAATATGCGGGTTTTATTTTGTTCATATGATATTATATTTTGACCTTCTTTTTCTCTATAACTACCTGCAGACCTATGCCTGCATAGTATACAATTTTTATATTGTATTAAATACACTTTACATTTCATAACATCACCATTATCGTAAAAATGGTATAACGCTCGAGAATATAATATTTCATCTTCCTCATCAAAAAATACGTCGACATTATCTCTGGCATTTAATACATTAAGATCATTGGTCCCACATATGGGTCTACAAATATATATAATATTTGCAATATATATTATGACATCTACAACTTAAACATTACACTCTTCTGGCATTTTAATGTCTTTGCTGGTATCTTTTAACTTAAAAAAAGGGGAAGAGATAAGCTTCCTCTTTTTCTCTCTCTCCAAAAATAGAAGTCATCTTACATTTTGTTCTTAAAGTCAGGTACATCTCAAATAAACTCGGTAATCTGTGACCATCTATTTTCATAGGATTGCAATTTTTAATATTATAAAATATCATTGTTTGTTGTGATTGTATCTCAAAGGCCTTCAGTTTAATTCTTATCATGTTACTATTATAAGAATAATTCAAAATTGCGATTAATCCATCATTAACAGACCCGAAACTAAAGTTAAATATAAAAAATCATAATAAAATTAATATGTTTATATGATATTTTATTGAATCATTGTATATTTGTTCTTTTCAATATAACTGAAAATTTTCAGCTGTCATAATCTTTAAAGATGTTATTTGCACATACATGTGAACTCTCTTTATGCTTTATTAATATATATATATATATGTTTATTAATATATATAAATAAATAGAATAACGATATTTTTTTATATATCGTTATATTAATTTTAACATAGAAATAATTTGAAAAATAATTTTTTCTTATAATATTTGAAATAATTTTTTATATATGCTATTAATGATAATTAATGCTACATATGCTATTAATGATAATTAATAGCGTATATAATAAAATTATTTCAAAATTAAAAGTTGTCAGTATGTGCCAAATAATTCTTAGAATTATGACAATTGATTAACGCAATTTTAATTTTTATGATTATTTTAATAAACATTATTTTTATATACACAGAAAAAATTATTCAACAACATCGAGAATCAAACATTCCCGAATAATTCGCAATATTATCTAAGGATTTGAATAATATAAGTAACTTTATATTTTCGAAGAATATAAATTTTATGAAAAATCTAAATTTTAACTTCTAATTTTCTTCAAATTGTAAATTCATAATTAAGATTTTATCTTTTAATTAATTATCGATTATGATTTGGATTGTAAATAGTGGAAAATTTGTTGTACATAGATTCAAATTCGGAATTGAAGTATAAATCGAATTAAAATCATCGTGATAAATATACAAATAAAATTGCTATAAAATTTGCAAGAAATAAGTTACTATCGATGTACTGCTTAACAAAAATATGCCATGAAATTAAAAATCTTAATGATATTCTCAAAAAACTTCATCGTTCGTTTTGCACGAGGAAGATAGCATTTTGCATCACATCTAAGATTCATATGCAACGACTACAAAAACACAGTTATAAACGTGTTTCGAAGAATTTTGGAAATTAGTGTTACGATTGAGAAGGTTTCTTGCGTCTTCCGAATAAATTGCTTAATACAGAACTTCGCTTGTAATCGCGATCTTTGCGATTGCCGCCTGAACTTTGCTCGCTTTCTGATCCGCTCTCTGACGTTCTTCTGCCATCCACCACTGTGATGTTCGGAGGAGATGATTGCGGAGCCGCTGGAGGAGCAACGTAAGGCGGCAACGATGTCGGTCTACCGGTGAAAGTATTATTTTGTTGTTGTGTACCCTAAAAAAATATGAATCTATTATACTCGGGCTTATAAACAAGACAGCGTTATCATGAAGTTATCATGAAATATTGAAATTGTTATAATCGCTTATTTTTTTATGTGCAGATATCTTATGTAATCTAATTTAAATACAATATAATACTCTTTTTTAAAATATTTTTCTAAATAAAACATATATTTTGGAAGAAATTTAAGAAATTTTATAATTAGTAATTATGAGTTCTCATTTTACAAAATAAATATAAATTGCTTTAAATCGTTTATTAAATTTTAAGTATTTAATTTAATTATTAATGTTTTATAAAAACGCTTACTTGTCTAATATTTACTGGTACATTCCCATAGGCTGTAACAAAAGAAAGATACAATTAAAAAAATTTTTATTTGATTACATTGACATCACATATTGATGCAACACTTGCATAATTCAGCTATATTGTTATTGTACACTAAATAGCTATTTACAATTGTTATTGCTAATTATGTGAATTTTAAAGTTAAAAATCAAAGTGCAGATATCAGCGCAGAATGCAATATTAAATTATAATCTTCAAAGTGGTTATAAATAGCAAAAATCTGTTAATATTTTAAAAAATACGAATATTTATGTGTTCTGGTTAAACATATATGTATATAAATATGTAATTGATAATTTTCACATTGCTTTAGCATTTTACATTCCTGGCCAAGCATTTTGGTAGATAAAAAAATCTTAAAATGCGGATGAGTGATGAAAAAGTGTCAATATAGAATGATTGCATGCGACTTTTTCACGTTATCGATTTTTCTGCACATCACCGAATGTGTTTTATAATGACTGACCAAGATGCTGAGGAATGTTCCACTGAGTCATTCTAGTCGGCGGAGGGGCACTCAATGGCAATGGAGGTGCTAATTCTACAAAATGATGATGAATGTTCACGTGTCCACGAATATCGAGTAAAATCTTCCTAAACCTCTTGAGTTTTTAAATTATACTACACACATAATAATGTACCTTGATGTTGTTGAGGAAGATCCACGCTACTTTGTCTGTGCCATGTCGGTGGCTCGTTCGATGAGTACTGGCTAGATCCATTATGATTTAACGTTGCACTGCGTTGATAGACGTTAGGCCTTCCTTGTTGCAAATGGTGTTCCACATCTATATGGAGACATTTTTTTATTTATACATAAAAGATTACAAGATAAGATAAATAACAATGCAATATAAAGCGATTATCAAAAGATAAAAAAATGATATGTGCACATAAAAAAATGTAATAAATTTTATCTTTAAAAAAATCAATTTCAATTAAAGTTAAAAATTAAGCTTTTAATTAATAATTAAATCCATTGAATTAAATCCATGTGCGTACCGTTACGCCTATATTGTATCATATTTTCTGAACTCGGTGTTCTCATGGGAATAGGTGGAGGAGCGCCTCGGGGTGGTATGGGTGGTTTATCGGTTTCCAACATCGCGGAATTGTGTTGATACTGATCCCACTGAGCCGCCAGTTGCTCCTGTTGCATCAATTGTTGCTGCTGTTGCGCGAGCAGCTGCTGTTGCCTGTGCATTTGCAGAAACTCTGTTTGAGTTTGCGGTATCTCGGATCTCTGCGATGCGAGGAACGCATCGACATTCTGCGCATCGTTGCGTCGTTGCTGATTCTGCCGATGCGTCTGCAGGAACTCTACTTGCACAGTGCTTGGTGAATGTTGATTCGGCGACGTTGGCTCACGCCTAATCACAGAGTTCTTGCGTTCCATCTCCGGTGTGGAAACGCGGCTACTTCCGGTCGACACATTATCATCTACTTGATCCAGTCCCGAGTTCTGCAGGCGGTCCAAACCTTCTTGCTGTATTTGAAATTGAAAGACAGAGAATATATAGATCATAGATTTTACAGTTCGATAAGATAATAAAAAAAATTTGAAACATTGAGATAATAAAAAAAAAAGATAAATTAGTTTATATATCGCAAACCTTCTGCGACTCGTCGTAGCTTAAGAGTTGCAGACTTGGCGGCAGTTTCGCATGGAATGAAATTTTGTTGACCCAATCTTCCATCTCTTGTTGACTCGGTGCTAAAAACAAAAACTCCGAGCCATCCGTACACTTCAATCGAAATACGTTCTTCTTCTTCGTGTAATCGTCTGCTTTCTCGCATAGGGCATTGAAAATAGTTATCGGAGCAGTAGCTGCTTTGCTCAATGAAAAATCTTCCACGTCCTTGAAGAAACACAGCAGTTGCCCGCATAATACTGCAATGGTTGATAAATAAAAATATATTTGCGAATGTAAAAAGGTCGTCTAATTTTATAAATGATTAGGTACCAGTGTAATACTGCTTCCACGATCGAACGGCTGCTTTTTTGCCGGCGCTTTGAAGCTCGTGCTTTCGTTCGAGAAAACCTTGAATTTCAACCGGTCGCAAAGCGTCCATGTTCTCCATTCGCTGTAGTTTTCTGAAACTTTGTGTTCTTCGTCTGGTCGTGAAGCTAGGAGTCCGTTTCGGCTTCTTCGTATCTACTTTCATGCTTTCAGCCCTTTTGATATCTGAAGTTGCTGAAAAAATTTGAATACAAAAAAATCGCAATTAATAAATTATATAATCCTTTTATTAAAACAAGAAAAGAAAACTAAATTGTTATCAATTTTTTTCATATGAAAATGGCACATACCTCGTCTTAATTTTTCGCCAAATACGTGTGATATACCATGAGATTTCTGAGATGTGGCAGGTTCTGCTGTTTCGGAAGTAGCACCCTTCAGCGGAGATAATCTAATAGATATAAGCAGTAGTATTTGTAAAACATTTTTTTAAATTATTACTTTAGATATTTCAGCACATTTAGTCTTGAATTAAATTTCAATTTTAACTTACATATTCACAGATTCGTGTTCATCGACAGAGCCATTAACTTCATCGTGTTGCGCGCGATGAGAATTGTCTAATAATCGCCTACGTTCCTCTTCGCGTTTTCGTTCTTCGGTTATCCTTTGCACCTCTTTACGTTTCCGTTCTTCAATCCGCTCGCGTTCCACACGCTCTTTCTCCGCTTGACGTGCGGCCATTTCTGCTTCTTGTTGTTTTCGGAAGGCTTTTTCTAACTGTACATCCATAACATTAAACAGAGACATATTACACAAGCCATTAATAATAATTAATAATAATTGCTAAAACAATCTCCTTTCTTTTATCTATTTTATATAGCAAACTTACCATAGTTATTCGCTTAAGGGTGCTGAATCTCTCTTCCTGCGCCTCTATGGTCTTCTCGAAATCTTCGTGTTTCCTAATCAACTCTTCCACTTGCGAAATACTCTCTCCCAATTTTTCGTCATACAACATTGGCTCTCTGTTGACTATCCAATTCTCCAAAGTTTCAGCGTCCCTCTTGAATAGCTGTGTATCCAAATTCTGTTCGTAAATTAATTTCCGCTGCTGCCATGTGTCTTTCAAGATCTGTTGGCGCTGCTGCAACACTGATATCTTCTCTTCAATCTCTTTCCCTAGGAAATGGCCCTGTTCGATCAACTTTTGCCCGATTCGGTAGAACTTCTCGAAGGCTTCTTCGCGAGCATCGATCTCCGATTTGTACTCATTGTGCCTGGAGATCAACGCCTCGGCGCCAGGAACGTCACGCGCCAATTCTGGCGCTGTCACCTTGGCTACCATCTCGTTTATCCAGGATATCAGATCCCTATACTCGCCTAGATAGGCCTGTAGTTGTTCTGCCTGAGCGAGTTTACTTCGTCTCTGCGCCGCTTTCTCCAATAATTCGCTCCATGCCGCTTCCGCTTCTTGATGCTTTACATCGATATGTACACGGGCGTCTGGAAATAGCTCGATTAACCTGGACGCCTCTTCCGTCAGGCACTCTACTTGCTCCTTCACAGCTGCCAAATCAGTCTCGAATCCTTGATGCTTTCTTACCAGTGCTTGAATAGTCTCCAGATCATGGCCGTAGCCATCCGAGCTGAGAGCCACTTCTTTTTCCTGTATCCAGGAGATAGTCTCGTCGGCCGTCCTGTCGAACATGTGAACTTGCTTGGCGCCCGCCAACGCGTCTTGTCGAGCGTGCGCCAATTCCTTCAAATCTTCCCATTGTTGTTTCGTTTCTTCGATTTTAAGAGATATTTTATTTTTCTCGGGATTATCCTGCTCTATCAGTCTTTGTCCCTCGTCAACCCCCGCCGATACCCGACCTTCGCTTGTCGTCAAGCCGGCTAAGAAATTATCGAATATCTGAATCAGCAGTTCCACATGTTCCACGTCGCGGCCGTAGTCCTCCGATGCAGCGACCTGAGCATGTTTAATATTATGTAACGTTTAATAATTATGCATTAACATTAATTATAATAATTAAAATATATATATAGATGAATGTAATTATATAATTATATAATTATATAATTATATAATTATATAATTATATAATTATATAATTATAATTATTAATTAATTATTTTTTAATTTACCGTTGTTTGATCTCCAATCCATTCGATTACTTCATCAGCTTGTCTGATAAATTTGTAAAACTTTTCGCTCTCTGATAATCTCTGTAATCGATATTCTTTCAATTTCTGCAATTCTTTAAATTTCACCTCGATATTATATTGCTTTTGGGCGATATTTTTACTATCAAAGTGGTTTCGCTCGATTAGACCGCATGATAGCTTCTCTAGGTTATCGATTGTGCTCTCGAAACCGGATAAATCGCGTTCGATACCCTCCAATTTCTTTAGCAGAGACTGCACAGAGTCTTCATCCTTGCCGTAGTCAGTTGATGTTAATTGCGGATGTTTTTCTCTAATCCACTGCTCAGCTTCCGCCGCTTCGGCATAAAACTGTACATATATAATATGTAATTTTTTAATTTTATCGTATATAAAAATTACACACTTCTATTATCAGTTAAATTTTTAAAATTACTAAAATTATTTACGCATTATTTTTTTATATTATAATTTATGATATTATTATTAATATTAATTTTATATACAATATTATATATAATATAATATTAATATTATTATTATTATTATATGATATTAATATTATTATTATCATTATTATTAATATTAATATTATTATTATTAATTTAATAACACTATATACGATATTATTAGATTAGTAAAGATATACATATTTAATAACTTACCGTTTGCGACTCCACAGCATCGAGTAATCTTAATTTTCTGACACTCGCCAGGTCTCGGAGATGCGACAACTCCTCTTGCAGTTTTGTAATTAATTGTTCAATCTTGTCTCCCGCGAAGTGTCCGCTTCGAATCATCACAGTCGCTCTGCTAACCAAAGAAGCTACCACAGGTTCCCTGGATAATAATTCTCCTTCTAAAGCTTGATGTTTCTTTTGCAATCGCTTCACTGTAGTAAGAGAGCTTCCGAGGTCGTTACTTGCAGCTAATGGTTCTTTCTCTGACAGCCAGTGCAACTCATCCTCAACGTCTCTCGCAAACTGGTGCAACAATTTCGCGTCTTCTAAATTATCTCTGCGTATTTGCATTGGTTCCTGAAGACTATGATATCTATTTATCGTAACTAATGCTCGCTCTTGAATTTCATCGCACATGAAGTGATTTGATTTCTGGAAGCTAGTGGCAGTCTCCTTGATGGACTCGCATGCCTCGTTGTGACCAAGTACGTCGTTTTCCAGATTGGTATGTCTCTTCAGTAAATTCGCCACGCTCGAGAGATCCTTTCCATGATCCTCCGACTGCAACTGAGTCTCTACTTCGTCCATCCACGTCTCGAATTCGTCTAAACTACGGCCAAACAGCAAGGCCTGATATGCGTCGTTCAGTCGGTTCTTCTTTAATTCACTGGTCTCTTGCAGAAGACGCCATTCTGCTTCCAGCTCGTCCAAACGTTCCTGTATTTCCTTCGAGGCGTAATGGTTTTCTTCGATAAGCGCTTCACCTTCGTTGACTACAGACGCGACTCTCGCCTTGTTTGCCATCAATTCACTTTCAAATGCGATATGTTTCTGTATCTTGCTCTGCAGATTTGAAGAATCTCTATAATTTTCATCACTCGCTACTTGTTGCTTCTGGTGCAGCCAACCTTCCACCTCGTATATGTTCCTGAGAAATTGGTGCAAGTGATGGCTCTCTAAAAGTTTCTTCCTTCTGGCCGTCGCGCTATTTTTTAATTTGTCTCTTCTGGCGCAAACGGAAGCGATTCGCTGTTTTATTATACCCGAGTCTGCGTGTTCACGCGACAAGATGTCATTAGCAAACTTTTCGAGTTCGTCGATACGTCCCAATTGAGACATCAGCATTTTCTCGAACTCTTCATGCTTACGCAGCAGTGTCTCCACGCCCGATAAAGATTCGCCAAGATCGTCGTTGTTCAGGAACGCTTCCTTCGTCGCCAGCCAACTATCAGCTTGATCGGCTTGCTCCTTGAACAGTTGCAACTGATGCGCTTGCGTTAATTTTTGCCTACGATTATCCCAAGCATTTCCCAATGTCTGTCTAAGTTCTTCCAAATGCTCAAGATTATCCTTAATTTCCTCGTCAATCGACAGGAGCTTCTGGCCATGTTCCTTTAGACCTTTAAATGTATCTTGTCGGCCGTCAATTTCTGCTTTCCTTTCTTGATGTAGTTCTAATACAGCCTCAGCTTCAGATATGGTAGTTGGTGGTTCGGATTCATCCATGCGTTTTATAGTATCGGCTACCCAAATATCTAATTCGTGTAAATCAGCTTGAAACTTGTGCAATGTATAAGCTTGATTTAAAGCGTCGCGTCGATGTCGCGTTAGACGTTGTAAATCGTCCCAATTAGACTGGAGCTCGGATAGTATTCCATTTATTTCGGATGCCTTGTCCGGATATTTATGCGACAATTTCTGTGCTTCTGCCTTATGCTCCTAAAAATACATACAATAAAATTACAATGTAAAATATTATTTGTGATTTTAAATTCTATTTAATAAATGTATTTAGAATTATTATAATTTCATTAATCATACTTCGATATGCATACACACTACAATATATTCACATACATGAGTAAGATTTTTTAAATAAATATTGTAATACTTTCTCACATAAATAAATAAAAGAGAGAGATTAGAGATATTAAAATTTAGAGATATTAAAAAAAAACATTCCAATTATTACTATTATGTATATTAATTATTGTACATAAATTTATTAATTTTGAATCTCAAAATTGATAAATTTAATAATTATTATTGTTCTATCGAATTGTTCTATATTTAAATTATTAATTATTAATTATATGATGATGAATAAACTTATTAATTTCAAATTATAAAATTAATAATTAATTGTAAAGTAAAATAATTTATGGGAAATTCACACATTCTTCACTTACTTTTAATTTCCCTTCTATTGCTGTCATGTCTCGCTCCATAGCTTCTTGTTTTCTTTGTAACTGCTCGACAGCGGGTAAATCTTTTCCTGTGTCGCTTGTATTCATGGCCATTGATTTCTCAATAACTCTTTGGTTTGTATCATCTATATCCCGATTAAATAGATGGATCTCTAATGCACCCGCTAATGTTTCACGATACATGCTTAACGCGCCTTGCAAACCTTTCCACTTATTGTTAAAGTTATCACGCCGCTGCTGAATTGCCTTTGATTCATTATCACGACCCTGTTGTTCAAAATAGCAAAATAGTGACTAAAATATTTTTCAATAATAAAATTTACATTTCAGTTAATGTATGAAAAATTTTTTTATTTTTTTTATTCTATAAAAAATTTGATTTCTACCTGTTTTATAAGCTTATCCGCCAAAGCATTAATTGTTTTTATTCTGGAATCGTCCACTCGCATATCGCTATCCACATCATCGAGTTTCCTTTGTAAGCTCAAGCAATGCTCGTAATCCTTTCCGGTATCGCCAGCTTGGACCATCATTTCCTTGTCTCTGATCCAAGCCTCGATTTTCTCCACTTGATTATTAAATTCCAAGATATCTTGAGCCTCCTCCAAACCTCTGCCCCGATTTCCAGATTCCAATAGCAATTTTCGCCAGGATGTATGTAAATGTTCCAATTGTTGATGAATTTCCGTGCTGGCCGGGTGCTTTCGCGTTAATAACGTTTCTCCTTTTGCTATTTTATAAATAAATTTATTATCAATCTGATATGCAAGCGAGAAAATTATATAATTTAAGTAGTAATTATATAATTTATTTATTAATCAATTACCTTTAATCTCTTCGATCCTGCTTTGATTTGCCGCCAGTTCCGCTTGGAATGCTTGATGTTTCTGCAATTTCTTAATTTTGTCTTCCAAACTAGACACTTCGCCTTTCGACGCTTCCGCTTCCAATTTCTTCTGCTTCTCGCCTATCCAAGATTCGGCCTCGCCCACATCTCTGACAAACTGCGCGTGTAGTAGACTGGCCTCCAGCTTTTTTCTTCGCATGTCGCACAGATCTCGGATTTTTTCACGTCTTTGAATGACTTCGTTTAATCGCCGAGCGATCGTCGACGAGTCGAAATGATTCTGCGCTAAAAGTTTATTTCCGTGCTCTTGCAGCGCCGTCAGTTTTTCCTCGTGTGTAACTAGCAGCTTTTCAAATTCGTTGTGTTTCTTCACTTGCGCGTCTACTTCCTCAACCGAGACCCCGAAATTGTCGCCGCTCAGCGCGGCCTCCTGAGTGCTGGATAAAGTATCAAGCTGTTTGGCGTCTCGCAAAAAGAAGTGCAAGTCGATCAATTGATCTAAATGCACTTTTTTCTGCTGCCAAGCAGTATGCAACTTTTGTCGCTCGTCCAAGAGTTGATTACATTTTTCTTCGACATCCTAAAAAATACATCGTGATAAATTCGCGAATAAGACATTGAGATCTCTGATGGATCTATTGTATAAATTTATTGAACAAATTTACCATGAACGAATTTCTTACCATAGCGGCGTAGTGACCAGTTTGTACCATAGCTTCGCCTAGATCGAGCACCGAGCTGAAATTTTCCTCCCGCGCTTCGATTTCTCCTTTCAGACCTTCGTGTTCTGCCTTCAAAGTTTGCGCACTGGCGGCATCTCGAACCTTTTCCTCTGTCGACATTGTAGCGCGTAGTCCAGCTGCCCAATTCATCAAATCTCTGGCCTGAGTAATTTTTCCGTTAGAAATGTTGTGTATGCTTATATGAAATTATCATATAAATGACAATAGTGAAAGAAACATACCTGAGCATGGAATCGTTGCAAGTCGCAGCTAGCCTGTAATTGATCCCTTCGATGAGCGGATCTATTCTTCAATTCTTCCCAATGAATAACGACGATTCGTTGCTGCTGATCGATGTGCGTCGCGTTGTTCCCCGGATAATGAGCTTGTAATCTGGACGCATCTTCGACTAGAACTTGCAATTGAGCCTCCAGTGCGACTAGATCATTCTCAAATCCTTCATGACGTCTGATTAATGCCAGAACGGAATTCAAATCGCGACCGAGATCCTCTGGCAAAGCAGCCTCTTTTTCCTGTATTCGTGATAGCGCCTCAGCCACATCGCGATGAAACCGATGAATCTCGCCTGCTGCCTGCAATCGCTGTTCACGATTTCGGATAAGACCTAACAGATGTTGCCATGATTCCCTAGTAAACAAGAATAAATCAAAATTATTAATTTTATTATTATTTTCTTTCTTCGAAAACTATACAATTTTTCATCTGGAGTAATCAGATTATTAGTAAATTGTGAATAATTTTTTTGTTTATATAATATTAATAAATATTCAAAAATTTGCTAAAGTTTCATCAATTTAATAATATTCTATTTTAAGAAAATTTTTAAAATTAAAAAATTTCGAAATATTATATAGGAATATTTTCAAATTTTTAATTTTAGAAATCTTTAAAATGTGGAAAAAAAGAGAACAAGAATAATATAAAAGATTTTGAGTTATTAAAATTGGAAGAGTTCAAAAAATTTATGTAGAAGATAGTTTTGATTAATTTATAATTATATATAATTATATACTTATAAAAATACGTGGGTATGAGTTATTCCACAACCATGTACTCACTTCATTACCATGTGTTGCTTTTGTACTTGAAATACTGGATCATCTTCGTCGGATCTGTATAGCATATGTACATAGAAGGAATGTTAATGTGACCCAACACCGAGAAAAAATAGAAATAAATTTTTCTATATTAAAAGATATAGTTATACTGTTATATTAATTTATATGAAGTATAGCCCATAAAAAAAAGAGAGGAAGAAATAATATTTTATATACTAATTACATCATCTTATTAATTTATTTCGTGCAAAAGCGATACTAATGATCTGTGAAAATAATAATGAAAGTATTAAAATAGCAAAAATAAAGATAAATAAAAATTTGTTTGCTTAATATATCACTAGCTAAAAACTTACCCTAATTGTTCCTGACGTTTTTCAATATCCTGAATATAAGGACTCTCATTCGCGATCAATTTTCTGGCTAATTCTTCGCACTGATTGAATCTCTCGGAGCCAGCTTCTATTCTATGCTTGAAATCATTGAATTTCGCTTGTAACAGCAACAGATGCTCATAATCCTGGCCATAGTCCTCCGATCCGGCCGCTTGTTCTTGTTCCTTAATCCACTGTTCCAACTCTCTGCTTTCTAGGAAATATTCATGGCGATACATACTCTCCATTAAACGCTGCTGCCTCACGGTAGCTAGTCGTTGCAAAGCACGCATTTGTTGAACGATTGCTTGCTGCTTATTGCCTATCGCTTTGCTGTCGGGATGCTTCGAATTTATCATCGTAGAAGCAGTATGTCCCATTTCTGTCACGATGCCATTGTATGTGTCTAATTCGAGTTCAACAGCCTGCAGATTATAAATCAAAATTTTCAATATAATACAAATGAAGATTATATTAATATAAAAATTATATGAATATAAAAATTTTTATCGAAAATTAAAATGGAATAATTGGATAGTTTGATTAATATCATGTTTCATATTGCGTTTTACAAATACATACCTTGTGTTTCGTCAATAATTTCGTAGCGGCATCGCGATCCCTGCCATAATCGGTGGAGCTCAGAACGTCATTTTTCTCGTTGAGCCAGCTCTCGACCTCACCAGCTTCGAAAAGGAATTCTTGCGCTTTTAGAGACAAATCCAACGCTCTACTACGCTCTTCTGCCTTATCTTGCAAGTCTCGCCACGCATCATCCAAAATATCGCATAGTTCTTGAATCTATTAAAAGCATCAATGTAACTGATTACTTATTGTCATCTATAATAACTCAATTTATTACATTTTTCAACATATTACTGGCGCGAAACAAATACAAATTAATGATTTATTAAATAATTAATTTTGCTGCTACATTGTTTTTTAAAAGCTTAGTTTTGATTTTGGCATGGAATATGCTGACAATAATACTGCCCAGAGTTCCATTGCTGTGGCAGCAGAAATATTATTTTATGTCTGCATGCACAATACATATTTCATGTATATTTCCTCATGATCATCTGAGGTTTATTATGAAATTATGAAGTAAAATCGCTAAGCTTATTGCAACTAGAATTGCGCATGTAAATCATATATATTAATAATTAATATTATATTCCTAATTTGAAATAGATATAAGTTGCGAAACAAAAATGAGATTTTAAAATAAAAGACATTATATTAAAAATCTCGTTCAATATTCCTGTATAAAAAAAGAACATATTTTGTTATAATTGACTCTGGACACACATAATATTAAATTATAAATATTTATTATTTTGAGATAATTAAAATAATATTTTGGAAGAAAAATTTTTATTATACACGTTTTTATCTATATGAAATGTTATATATCTGATTACTTTTATTCTGTAATAAAAAGAATTTTCGCGTATTACGAGTCAATTACAACAAATATAGCTCATACAATTTTAGAGACTGTGCTAAAAATACAACAATTAAGATCTTATAAAAATACAACAATTAAGATCTTATAAAAATAATAATTTATTAATTACGTGAAATCTCAAACGCGCAATTAATAAACAATTAAACACGGAAGCGATAAATATCTGTGATATTTTCCATGCATCAGTACATCCACCTTACCTCTGTACACCCAATAACTCTTCGAGATGTTCCAGCTGTGCAAAAATCATAATTTCTTACTCCAATCTCGGTCATCTTCAATCATCATGCAAATCCACGTGAAAAAAAAATTATTTGACAAAAAATTTCTTGCTATTTACCTTTTTCTTCTCTGGATGAATCTGATCGATAAGCGCCTGTCCAGAAGTTAAAGTTTTATCTATCATAGGCTGATGACCGGCGATTTCCGCTTCCAGCTTCTTGTGCTTCTTATGCAAAGTCTGGGCCTGGTGTAAATTTTGTCCGAGCGTTGTCGAGGATGCTTGTGGCAAGTGATCTTTAATCCATTGTAATTCTGCGTCTAATTCAAAGCCGAATTTATGGAAGCGCAAGCTTTCTTCTAATGCTTCTCGACGTTTCTTAGCCGGTTCCTTTAAACTGCGGAATCTATAAATATAAATTTTGTGTTATCTTTACATATCATTATCCATATTTGTTCATTAATGAATGAATTAATTGAATTATTATAAAATCAATTTTGTTGTATAAAATGACGACAATAATGTAAATTATAACGAAGGAATTTTTTAATTCTCACATACTTTTTCTGCGTGGCTTGACTGCTCTTCAGAATGTTTACCGCATCGAAGTGACCTTCATGTGCCATCTCCTGACCCATGGCTACGAGATCGTCCACCTTTTGTTCCCATTGACACATGTCGCTCTCGAGGGTCTGGTGTTTTTTCAACAACTCCTTGCAACTGCGAAGATCCATGCCTACTTGCTTACTCTGCAAACAGCTCTCTATCTCTTCCAGTTTCAATCTGGCATCTTCCATAGTACGATTGTATCCGTGTTGCGAAGCGGCTTGTCGCAATCTGCGACCCTTCTCCAACGATAATGCTACGAGTTGGTCCCATTGATCATTTAGATCCTTCAAGGTTTTTCCCACGTCGTCCGATCTGTAATTTTCTTCAGATATCAGCGCTTTGCCCGCCTTGTTGACTGCTCTCAACTGTCCTTCATTGGCACGTAATTCTCGTTCGAATGCTTCATGCTTCTGCAGTTTGCGTTCAAGATTATTCAAATCGCGGTAACTCTCATCAGCCGCAGTCTTCATTTTGTCGCCCAACCAATCGCGCAAGTCATCCACTTCGGCTGAGAATTGTTGATAATGCTCCGATGCCTTCAAGGCCGCTCTTCGGCGTTGAGCAGCGTCCTTTACTGCCATACGACGGGCTAGTACTTGATTTCTTTTTTCATTGATGCTAGAAATATAAATTAAATTAATTTAAAAAATGCTATAAAATTTCATTAACATTGAGTTAAAAAATTACGATTAAAATTCTTTTAATTATTTTAATGAATTTCGTAAAAAGGGGAAAGAGAGAGATTCGATATTATATTTACTCTTAAGTTATTGATTAATCATTGTCTGATACTTACTAATCTTTGTCATAGTGATTTTGGGCAATTAGTTTATCAGCAGTGTCGCTAAATAGCTTTAATCTGTCATCTTGCGCATGAAGAGTGTTTTCGAATTTTTCATGTTGTTTTAATAAAGCCTCGACATCGTCCAAAGATTCACCCAAATCGGTGAATTCAAGGAAAGCTTCGTGAGAACTGGTAGTAGCTTCGATCTGATCAGCTTCCCGATTAAATTGTTGCAATTCCAGGCATTGTCGTAGCCATTCTTCCTTTGTCATCCAATCGGCCATTACCGCTGGATATAATCCATTTAATTTATCCAGACGTTCGCGTACATCCGCTAAATTCGGATTACGACGTAACAATTCTCGACCAAGATCCTCGACTTCACGGAATCTATATAAATGCACAAAAATATCTTTCATAAAAATTATATTCATTAAAAAAAATTATTCAATATCATATATATTATTATATGAATATATAATTATTTATTATATAAAATTTTCAATAAAATAATATCGTTATAAAAATTATTTCAATAAATCTAACATATTTCATTTATATATAATTTTACAGACATTTTGTCATAAATTGAATATTATAAAATATAAATTTGAATATTATAAAATTACGTACTCGTCTTCTTTGGTTCGTATTTCTTCTCCAAGTTCCATATGCTGTTTCTTGAGTTGCTCGGCTGTAGCTACATCTCTAACTGGTTCCTCGGCCTTCATCGTCTCCTGTATATCTGTAGCCCAGTTAATCAGATTCTTCGAGCTATTCATAAATATTTGTTGGCCGACCGCGTCTTCTAAACGAGATCGTCGCTCCTTGGCCTTTGTTTGAACTTTATTCCAGAGTTCCTTGATCTCGTTTTGTTTCACGTTGACATTGTTACATTCGTGAGGGTATGAATTCTTGACACTATTGCCTAATAAATTCACTTTGCGTACCTGTAAAAATTGAATTATGAGAATTAAGATATAATAATTATTTTGTTATTATCCGAAACAATGTTGAGACATTTTACCTTTTCTTCGACTGGTGCCAATTCTCGTTCTAAATGTTGATGCCTCCTCTGTAGAGCTTGTACAGTTTTCAAATCGGGCCCTAATTCGGCCGTGTCTAACTGAGTGATTTTTTCCAACATCCAGTCGTGTGCCTCACCGCAAGTTCTGTTAAATAATTCGACGCTTGAAGCACCCTCCAAGCTTTTCTCTTTCTGCGTCTTCAGCCAGTTTAGATGATCCCACAGCTGATGAATATGCCTCTGTCTGGCTTTCACCTTGTCCAGTTGACTATGACCTTGGCGAACAAATTCATCAACTGCTGCATCTATTGCTTCTACTCGTTTCCCGGAAGCCGACAAGTCTGTTAAGAATTTTTCGTATTTTCTTCTCGCCGTTTCAACGTTGTCCTGAGGATCCTCGACTCTTAACATCTTCTCTTTGTCTTTAATCCATTTTTCGAAGTCGTCGCACTCACGATAAAAGCCGTAGAACCTGATAGCGTCTTCCAATAATGCGTGACGCTTCAGAGCAAGTTCCTGCAGCTCACCATAAGTGTCGTTGATCTTCTTTTGTCGTTTCTCGACACTATCACCATCGCTCACCGTCTTTCGCTTGATCGGTTTCACGGTAGATTTGATGGATTTTAATCGTCGAACTGGCACCACCTGCTTGACCATCTTCGTCTTCTTTACACGCTGCGTTGTTTTGATTTTGTCGAGTTTGCGTACCTGGACTTGCACAATTTTTGGCTCAATCTCGCGAACGTAATTAGCTGGCACGAATCCATCCGTACCATCGGCTTTTCTGACGCTCCACCAATCGGGATTCGTTTTATTCAACAGAAACATCACCTCACCCTTTACCATATGCATACCTTGGCCGTCGAACGGGTATAAACTCTTTACTTGCGGCACCATTCTATCCTCGTGAACAGTCCTCGGTTCCATTCGCTCGACTATCTCGTCCACCCACTCATCTTGCGGCATCAGTCTGATCTCCTTGCTCCATTCTTCTTGTTCCAACTCGGCAACCGGTTCCGGATCGGCAGTTAATTCCAGAGTGGAGATACCGGATTTGATAAGTTTCTCCGCTTGTGTATTCAGAGACTGCACGTCACCTTTGTAAGCATTCAGTTCACCTTCCAGATCCTTGTGCCTTTGCAACAAAGCCTGAGCGCTTGGCTCGTCCACTCCATAATCTTCCGAAGCGACTAATGTCATTTTCTCATTCATCCACGAATCTGCTTCGTTCGCGTCCGCATAAAATTGGAACGCTTCGGCCGCATCGTCCAACTGCTTCTTCCGCAACGCCGCTAGTTCTTCTAGGACTCTCCAGTGTTCCTGCAATGAATCTATTCGATTCTGTATTTCCAATGCCGACGGATGATTGTCGGCTATTAGTTTCCTGCCGGCGTCACAAAGCTGCTCCGATTTCGGCCTGCGCACTTTCATCTCGTCTTGCAGAGCTTTATGTTTTTGTTGTAATGATATCACGGCTCGTAGATCTTTCGCGGATATGCCAGCCTTGCAAATTCGTTGCTTCTCCACTAGCCACGACTCCTCGTCTTCGTGATCTTGAAGAAAGTGAAAGAAGTTTCGAGCATCCTCCAGTCTAGCCTTGCGTTCTTTACTATTCTCCACGAGCTCATCATAGGTGCTATTCAACAGTTCCAGTTTCTGCTGCAACAATGGCACTTCCTTATTTTGCGGCTGTGCCAAATGTTGAGCGGCTTGTCTACCAAGTCGCCTCTGGCTTTCGCCCAGAGCCGTCACTTGCAATTCCTGCAAACTATGCTTTTGTAGAAGATCCTCAACTCCTAACAAGTGCGGACCCACGTCGGTACTCTGGAAATTCAGTTGAAGTTCCTGGATGGAAGCTAACGTCGTATCGATTTCCCTCATCAGACTCATCAAGGAGCTTAACGCGACTAGATTGGATTTGTGATGATCCAGTAAAGCCAGCAGCTCTTTCCATCTTTGCAATACCTCTTGTTCTCTGCTACGGACTCTCTCGAGACCGTGATAGTTCTCTCGCACAAGCTCTTCAGACATATTCGTTAAATCATGGAAGCGCTCTTCACGCGCCAAGATGTCGGCGCTAATGGCCTCATGTTTTTTCACTGTGGCGTCTACTTGCGCCATATTGCTGCCATATCGAGGATCCGTTAACACCTGGATCATCTCCTTCAGATAGCCCTCCCTGAGTACGCTTTTTCGCTCGAATTTATAATTTAATTGCTCAAGTCTCTCTTGTCGCAACAGCTCGATTCTCAGGGCGACTTCGCGACGGTGTTCCGCTCTTTCCAGTTCCACCCAATTTCTCTCGATATCATGAATCAATTGGCCTTCTTGCGGAGTAAACGCTGGCTGGTTCAGAGACTTTAATCGGGTGTTTATGTGAAAATACAATGCTTCTATTTCAGATCGTTCTTTGTACTTTGGTGGTTTCTCCACCGTTCGATATTGTTTGAAGGTTAAGAGTTCCCGTTGGATACCTTCGAGCGAATTCGGAAAATTGCGATTCTCCAAGACTTCGATCTTCATCTTGATCCACTCGAGAAGATCGGTCGTCAGCTTCTCGTAGTGAATCTTCATCTTGTCTGCGTCCATCATTTGGCCAACGATCTGTTCGAATAGGAAAAGAGAAATAAAAATTTGTAGTCGAGTTATTCCCAATTTAATTTAATTTAATTTAATTAATTCTTAGATTCTTGAATTTTTTATAGCGTCATAAGAAACATAAGATGTTTCAATTCTGAAATGTATGGATATTTAAATCCTGGCACATTTTTGCAAAGATATAAAATATTCAAATTTAAAAATTTTAAGATTCTTTCTTAAAGTCATGTAAAACATGGAATTTCTAAATATATAGTCTCTATTTTTAATATAATTTTTAAACAAAATTAGCAGAAAAAGATATATATCAAGGCTTTAGATTATTAAAAAAAAATACATTTTAGTTCCATAATTCTTTCTATATTGAATAGTTTTAAAATAATCGTACGTTCGCTATTCTCTTGCCGCTCTTTATCTCGTTCTTCATTCTGGCGAACGTGTGGTAATAAGATGCAACATAAGTGATAATGGACTTCTCGTCGGGTCTGGCCGTGTCCACATCTTCCGCATCCAAGAGCCGTGGTATGCCGAGTTCTGAATTGGCAACGTCGAAAGCATAATTGAGATTATCGATGTTCTTATTTTGCTGCAATTCCGACCAATTGACCAAATCTGGTCGATGAGCATGTATGAGAGCATTGAAGCCAAGACCGCTTCTCCAGGAGCCTGTATAATATTTAGAATATTAATTTTTCTCATACTTTTAATTATATAATTTTATGAAAAAGAAATATACAAAATTTTTATTTATATATCTAAGTTTATATAAATTACTTAAACACATCTTACGAATTGTTAAATGTTGAAAAAATATAGAATAAAATTTGTAGACGAATATGTGTACAACTATAGTAAATATTTTCTAAACTCATAAATATCACATGATTTTCTCAAACTTTTTTGCGACATTCAGAGATTGAATATTCATGACGCGTAATCATATGCAAGATGAAGAACTCGACTCACCAGTAAAGTCCTGAATGTTGACGCCGGGATAGCCATTTGTCTTTCTCTGACACCAGAGTAACAGAGCATCTTTGGCAGACTTCTTTTCGCTACTGTCGTTTTCTTCATCCACATCGATCTCGATCTCTTGTATTTGAAATCTCAGAATAATGGTCCAGATGAGACCGAGAATCAATCTAGGATTACCATCCACAATATCCTCTGCACCGATACTCTCCAAACGAACCTGAAAATAAGAATATAATTATTGAAATACTAATAAAAAAAACCAGTAAATTGGTTTTATTACGTAAATTACGTAAAAAATATTTTGATATTAGATAATGCTTTAACAATCTCGCTACTCGAACAGTAATATTTAATAAACAATATTAATACTTTTTAGTAAATAAAATACAATAAAACCCAATAAAATAATATTTTACGTACATATTTATGACGTTAAGATCTTTTCCAAACATAAGAGAGAGGAAAAAATTTTGGCAAAATTTTTAATGTACTTTGCTTTTCTCTTTTTTAAACTTTTCTTTCACATAACTTCTATATTAATATAGTAACTTCAAGTTTTTCTCCTTAGAACACTATGCGGCAAGATCGTATATTTTTTTTACAAGACTCGAATGAATAATGCGCCCGTATAATTTATGCAACATGCCGTTCGCATAATTATTTGCATTCCGATTTATTGCACATTTATGCCTCCTCGACACAATGTTTAACGCAAGTTGCGTAAATGACTGGTCTTAAACGGATGAGTAATTTATAAGAATAGAAAAGACGCATAGCGCAATCAAGATGCCATAGATTCTTAGTAATTCAGAATAATAACAAGGCGTTGCGTTATAACGACAAGATCATAAAATGCCACCAAGTATGATGTAATATTACATACATATTAAATTTTAAAATATCGATAAAATTATACTCTAAAAAAGCTTTAAATACGTGCGTTCTTCCATAAATTATCATTTTCGATGTATGGGTAATCAAACTTTATCATTTAGCTCAATTTTCGAATTTCGATGTATGGGTAATCAAACTTTGTCATTTAGCTCAATTTTTGAATTAGTAGCAAAGATTGAAAAAATCTTGCAACATTAACATATATAATTATAAGGCGTGAAATTTGAACGGCAATATATTCGAATGTTATGTTACACGCGATCGAAGAGAAACGAATACAAATATCGGTACTACTTCACGAGACTTCTTTTAATTTTATTTATGTCATGAATGGTTACGAAATTTATTTCGGATCATTAATTTTGAAGCGCGTAAAATCCCGTTGAGAGAGGACCCGACTCAGCGGAAATAATTATGCGACCACGCCGGGTAATGAATTACAACTGCGATGCGATTTAATAATTGCATTTTATTCCGCGTGATCGAGGAGGAATGCATGCGGAACGAACGGTGGAACTTTTTTGGCCTTTTTTCTCCACGTGACCTGCTTTCGTGTTTTACGGCCTCACGTCTTATAATTATTCAGAGTAATGAACTTGGCCGTTACATATGAAATGTTTAAAGTCCGAATCTCACAGGTAGAACGATATCCTCGACATGTTCCTCGGCACGTAATAACTGCCTGGAGTTAAAATTTAAATTTATTGATATGCAAAGAGAGAAACTTGCTACTTGTTAACCGAATAGGAAGGAATTAGAGGGGAAAAAATGTAAGTGTGTTGTAAAGATAATAAATTCTAATTTAGACTTGACATCGAAGAAGATCCCAAAAATGGTAGTTCAATTATTCCGGTCGTGAATCTCTTCGTGTCAGTGAAATTATACTCGCGCGTAGAACAGCCAGTGGCAATCGATTGCCACATGTGTCACTACATTACAGTTCATTCAGTCGTAATTGGGTGTATTATTGATAATGCAACATTTGTTATTCCCAATCGGCAGCGACGGCGGGTCCCGATCGTTATTAATCTCTGGTCGATGGTGGTGAAAGTAGCGTGTTAGATCAACGAGTGCTTTTATGTTTGTCGATCGCTAATAATTCTGCGATGATACTCGATGCGTATTTAATGGTCGCTTCAACGTTCGCGGATGTAAGCTTTGATGATATAATTGTGGGTATCACGCTCGTACATGCATGAGAAGCATATATGGGAGATTAACAAGATTCTCTTGTAAACGCTTCCTTCTCGGGAGGAGAATAATTTTTTTGCAGCAACTAGATCGTGATATCAAAAGTCATAAAATCCGTATGAAGTAAAAGGCGCAACGTTACTTTTCTAACGTTTAAAATTATCTAAAAATCTTTTCTACGAGTCTTCCTTGATGTTTAGCTAATTTACATTTAAATTTAAAATTTAAAAAATTCTGAAAGAGTCATAAAATATTTTACTAATATTATAATTTATATATCAAAAATATTATACATATAATGTAAAATTTTTCAATTTAATATAATCTATTATAAAATCAAATATTTTATGTGTTGCAGGCGTTCCTTTCACCTGGACAAATTCGGTAAGTTTGGTCTATCTAACGCAGTAAGTTGGACTTGGTATTTTATGGCGATTGCTTCGCAGCTGCAAATTCGCTCGTTCGATACTGGCCGCAAAATACCGGGGGGATCGATACAATTTTGCTCGCGCTTCTCGCCACGCTATTGTAGTTAATCGCGGCGCGGGGCGCACGCCCGTCGACGGACGTTCCTCGCGCGCGGCTGCTGCTGGAATGCAGTCCGATCACTTGTGCCAGAGGGTTTATCAAGGCCGCTGGGAAATGGAAATTATGGCGTTTGCGCCGGTCGGGACGGCTGACAGCTCGCGGAATACAAAACAAAGAGAACGCGTAGCGTAACCGTTAAGCGGCCGACGCGGACGACATCGTCGTGGACGAAGTTAACGAGCCGAGTGCCGCTGAATCTCACCGTCATCTCGGCCTACCAGACCGGACTTCCTCGTGTCCCGCAGGCTCTCAGCCACGTGCTCGTCTCGACTTATTTCGCGACAGCCGACCGCCAGATGCCTGAGCGGGGCGACTACCGCTCCGAGCCTCTGGTCAGCGTTGAATAACTCGATACTTTTTTTTATCCACGATTATAGATAAGAACATAATCTAGGTAAACCGGTTTATTATTATCTAATTAGTTTAAAATTAGACCGCCGGTGAAAATTCAAACGTCATGTTTAACTCGAGAAAGCAAGACAAGTTTTTATGAACATTATTAATTGCACGCGGAAGCGAGCATTTGTGTGAAATTTATTCTTGATGATTATCAGATTTGTAAAAAGTGCTTCATATTTGCCATATGTTATTTTCAGATAAAATTTTTATTACATTTACACACTATTATACATTTATTTTTTATTGTATTATATTAATGCAATAGAATAAAAATTATATCAATTTTTTACATTAAATTTTACGAATTTTTTTATTTTCCTTTAACTTTAATTACTTGCGTTTGAGCAAAAATATTGTAAACTGTTTATCTTTAGAATATATTTTTTCCCTTCTAGTTTTATAAATCCTATAAAAGAAATTGAATATATAATTCTATAAAATTGATTTGTAATTACTCAGTCCTCGATAAATTTAATAATCATCAAGAACAGAGAAAAAAAGACATTCTTAAATATTATCTTATATTTCTATTAAATTCATGATAAATATGCTTAATGCTCTCGTATACACATGCATTTCTCATTGTCAGAGAAATAATCCCTTTGATAAATAGCGAACGAGGTGCATTAGACGCGCGCGGAATGTTGGCAGTCGATTTGTCGTACATAAAAAAAAGTATCTCTTTGTGACGTGACTCATCGCACGCGATAACGGAACAGGACACACGACTAATGATCTACTTAGCTTAAGTAGCGTGGCGAAAACGCCGGGGCAAACGCATTCCCGCCGTCACCGTGCAATTTGCAGCTACCACTGTACATCTATGTAATAACACCGACCGGATAATATATTTACAAGCGGTGGTATTCGATAATGATAGAGCGAGGTCTCGCATAATGATGTGCGACATATCTGTCGACTGGTGCAATGATCGGTAGCTAGCTCGATCAGCTGACTGGGTCCTCTCCCCTCGCGCACGTGTCATTAACTCTGGAACTTTAATGCGATGTCAACGATACGCGATACGCTGTTATTCAACGGTGCATAGCAAATGTAATTCGAAGCGAAGCGCAGTAAGAAGCGCAAAACTATGCAGAGTAGTTTCAAGCAATGCAATTTTTTTTTGTAATCTCTCTTTGGCAGAAAAGAATGGAACAAATATATATTAAATTACATCAGAATTTCATGAAAACGCAACGAAAATAAAAACTAAATTAATATATACAACATGAGAGATAGATCAATTATATAGAATTATATATTCAATTTCTTTTATAGGATTTATAAAACTAGAAGGGAAAAAATATATTCTACAGATAAACAGAGAGTTTACAATATTTTTGTTAGCGCAATTATAAAATATATTTCTAATTTTCAAACAATCAAGAGAACCATTGTCAAAGGAAAAATTCTAGCTATTTTTTAATATATTCCTTTCATCGCGTTTTTAATAAATGATGTGAGGGGAGGGAGGGTAAATAATCCGTTAGTCAACGAGGTCACGAAGCAGGTATAAAAAAAGGAGGAGGGAGCAATAAGAGAGGTCAAACCTTCGAATTTTCGCCACGACGGGACGCGTGCAGTCACGTTGCAAGCCGAGTTTTAGCAACGTATGAATAATGAATGAATGCATAGCGAAGCGCCAGGAAACGCGGTACTGTTATGCGTCGTCGCGTTAAAATGCCGGGTACGGTTAAAACTCGTGCAAAAGACACACGGCATCGAGATAAGGGGCAAGAGCATTAAATAACTTAACCGACCGATTGCGACGTGGCCGCTCATTCTTCTCGGCGATCGCTTTTTACGGCGTTGCACGCCGACTGCAATTTACGCGAGATTTTAAAGCGCCTCGAGCGCCTCTTGCATTGCCTCCCTTCCCTAATTGACGTATTGTGTTGAAGCGTGCTCGATCGAGTCGATTAAATTTTCGAGCCTCGACCCCGTCGTCGCGATGAAATACGATCACCTCAATTGATAATTGCATAATGCGCGAGCCTGATATTTTGCATGAGAGAGTGTCAAATTGTTCTGTGATTCGATGTCGCGGGAGATTCACAGATCCCAACAAAATTTAATTAATTTAACAAAGATAACACAACATTGGATCCTAACAAAATTTCCATTAAAATTTGATCAGATTTGGAA